AATTAATATTAAAATTTCAAATTCTGTCCTACTGTTCAAGGTCAGAGCCCTTTATTGGAGGGGTTATTCTGAAACGCCCACATAAAAAAGGGCCATAAAACAAATTTAATGAGCTTCTACAGTTCATATCCTAATATTATTTTTGGATGTGCTGAAAAAAATTGTACCATTAGGTTATCAAGATGTAGATGTGGGAAAACTCATAAACCAATATAAAACTCTCCCCCTAAGAGCTAATCTGAAAAGCAAAGGATACTTCAGCAGGGAAGTAGAATTTTTGTTAAAAGAATGGTTTAGTGGAGGATTTCATCTAGTCCATGGGCTTCACCGTGCATCCTTGTGAAGAGGCTGAATGGAGGGTTTCGTATGTGTACAGAGTACCGAAGGTGAATGAGGTCACAATTACTGATGCTTTCCCTCTTTCCTCGTCTGGATGACGTAATTGACTTTGTGGGTATGGCTACTTTTGTGTCCAAGTTGATCTCCTTAAAGGACTATAAGGTACCTTTGAGGATAATGCGAAAGAAATCTCAGCCTTCGTAATTCCAGGAGGTCATTATCAATAACAGTTACCCCCTTCGGAATGAATAAATTCCCCTCTTCATCCAGAGACGCTATTCCATAAGGCTATTAAGGACTTGAAGGCACGGCAGGTGTACCTAGATGATATTGTTGTGGTGTCTGATACTTGGGATAACACCTACTTAGATTTAACGCTCTTTTTGGAGACCTTTAAGAGTTCCCATTTAACAGTTAATTTTATCTAAATCTTCCTTTGGCCAGCCATGTCACTTTTCTTGGCCATGAAGTAGGTGTGGTAAAGTTGCATAAACTTGCTAAAGTTTCTTGTATTAAAGATTATCCAGTTCCTCATGATAGAAATCTCTTAAAAGTTTCTAAGCATGATAGGATTTTACAGATGATTATGTAAGAATTCTCAGATATTGCTAGCCCTCTTACCTCTCTTACCTGTCTCAAAGTTCCTTTAATTGGATCCCAGATTGTTCTAACTGCTTTTGACAAAGCAAAAAGGATACTTGTGTACTGCACCCATCTCTTGTCTCCAGACTTCTTCCAACTTTTTCATTACAGGGTTGATGCTTGTGAGTTTGGGGTTGGGGCAGTACTTAGTACAAAAGAGAATGAGGAGTTGCAGCCTGTAGCATACTTTTCAGCCAAGTTCCAGCCAATCAGAGGGCCTTACTATACCATTGAAAAAGAAGCCCTCGTGATCTAAGTACTGGCTTTGGAGCATTTCGATTGTTTATGTGGGCCAGACATCGCAGGTGGTCACAGTATAACAGTGATCTCAATCCTCTAGTATATCTCCAAGCCATGAAAGAACCACAACTCAAGGCTCATGCGCTGGAGCTTAAAGACTGCAACCATACTCACTCAGAAGTAAATATATTGCCGGAAAAGAAAATGTGTTTGTGGAACTCTTTATCTAGGTCTAATATTTTTATTTATTTAGGTTAGGATGTTATATTATTTGTGGTAACCCCTTTTCACGCTCTTTTTTTTATCCCCTGGTGTGGGGGTTTTTTTTTTAGCGAGGGGATGCGGCTTACCCGTCCGCCTGTATCTTGGAACTTTGCTAGCCTGGACTGACTGTTTGTCTCACTCTGAGTTTAGGGTTTGGCTTTTGTCACGAGAAAAGCTGGCTATATTCTAACGAGTTGTGATGGTGGAGAGGAAAGGCGGCGGGGTCCATTATTTTGCTGCCATGGTTGGCACGGTTACCACTGGGAGGTGGCAGCTAATCCTGAGACTTCTCGGGGTGGGGGTATGTGGCATGCATAAGAGTACGTAACCTGTTATTCAGCGCATGTACACACCTATTTAAAGTCTATACCTCCCCCAAACCAGAAAACCAGTGGTTGCTAAGAGTTGAGGATGGGGCCCGTCGTTCAACTAGTGACCAGGTTCTAGCCATTAAGAAGGATGGTTTTGGCAATCGCAGAGGTTATGTGGGTACCACTCTCCTGTCTGCCTTGTCATTCCCATTCTAGTGTGGTTGAAGGCACGGTCTGCTATCTTGTGGCTTCTATTTTCTGCTTGCTTACCGTGGACTGGGAGTGCACTATACTTTCACTGTACATAGTGTACTTATGCTGATTCTAAACTGGAAGGATAATTTGTCTAAACATTTTCTGCTGTGTTTATTTAGCTTCCCATACACCCGGGATAACAGGCCCATTGGAATATTGGGTGTCATAAACATTAAAGAATGGATGGTATGAGTGAGCCTTTTGACAAGATCACTTATGTCTTGAGAGAACCACACATCATGGAGCTCTTTTGAGAACCTTTGCTGTTTGTTGGCAGAGCAACTATCTAGACCATGCACTAACCCAATAAAGGTGAGCCAATCCTTTTCTATTTCTTACGAAACATTTATTTTAATTTATTGAAAGTGTATAAAGTAGGTAGTTGTAACAAATGGATTGTGTGCTGTAAACTGGTTTACTCAACCCAACCCTTCACTTCCCTGCTTAAAGTTCCAGGCATGCAATATCATCCCTCCCCCTACTGACTGCCCCACAATATATGCCCAGACACTTAATACCTTTCAATAATGGTGAGAGAAGAAAGAGCCTAGGTAAGTGTTGTGTTAAAGGCAATCAGGAGAGTGAAGCTGTCATGCTGCTGCTTTGCCTATGCTGTTCCTCTCACAATCTAATAGCTATAATAGAAATAATGTCTGTGGCATTAATATCAAGATGTTGATATATAATATTGATTTACATGTTTATTGGGTTACCTTTAAATGTGCTTTTGATACACTTTATATGTCTTGGGTCTGGGACACACTTATGAACAAGGCTAGGGACAATACTTCTTGCATACTTGTTTGCATCAACAACATATCAGTGTTCAACCATAATGCCAAAACCAATAACCCAACAATGATGACAGCATAACAGTTGGCCATCTTTCCTAATTTGCTATTTATTCTCCTCTAAATTCATGTACCCAACCTTTGCAACTTAAGAAGTAGGAGTTGACAAAGGTTGGTTGTGAACAAATTTGTGAGGGGATGTAAATGGAAATTAATAGTAAACTTAGGAAAGAACAAGGTAATGAGAGTATCAAAAAAATATAGGCATGAGAAATTAGATATTAGATTGGTGGGAAAGGAGTATGGAAGAAATAATGTGTTTCAGATATTTGGGAGTAGCCTTGTCAGTGGATGATTCTATGAGGGATGAGGTGTAATCACAGAAATGAAGATGAAGGTGAGCAATGCACTGATGCATCTGTGGAGACAATGGACTTTTTCCATGGAGGCAAAAAGGAGAATGTACCACTGTATAGTGGTACCAGTATGCTGCAGCGAAGAGGAGGCTGGTGGCAGTAGAGGTGCTGTGCCCCAAGGCAATATGTGGTGTGCATATTATGCAAAGAATTCGAAGTTTGGAGAAAGGAGGGTGGAGTTACCAAAAGTATTATTCAGAGGGCTGAGGAGGGGTTGTTGAGGTGTACTGGACATTTAGTGAGGATGGAGCAAAATATGATGATCGGGAGGGGGAGGGGGGCAAATCTGTAGTGGGCAGAAAAAGGGTACGAATCATCTTAGGAGAGCTGGAGGGAACGGTAAAGGAGGTTTTGTAAGCTAAGGGCTTTGACATGCATCAAGCTTGGGTGAGCATGTTAGACTGGACTGGAGGCAAGTGGCTTTTATGATTTGACAATCTGTTGGACTGTGAGAAAGGTAACATTTATTAAGGGATTCAAGGAAACCAGCTAGTCAGTTCTGGAGGTGGAAAGTATAGTCCCTACACTCTGCCTCCTTCAGAGTGGGGGGATGTTGCAGTTTGGAGGATTATCTGAACTGTGATGTCGGTGCCCTTCTGGCATGACATACTGAATAAGTGACAGTGAAAGTTTTCTTCTTTGTCACTCCATCTTGGTCAGAGAGGAGTGGTATAAATAAATAAATTAAATAAATAAATAATAAAAAAAAAAGTTGACCGAGATGGAAAGTTTTTTTTTTTTTAACATGACGGCCATTTCCCACCGAGGCAAGGTGGCCAAAAAGAAAGAAAAAAAACTTTCATCATTCAACACTTTCACCATCACTCTTTACATCATCACTGTCTTTGCAGAGGTGCTCAGATATGACAGTTTAGACGTCCCTCCAAACTGCCAATATCCTAAACCCCCTCTTTAAATTGCAGGCACTGTACTTCCCACTTCCAGGACTCAAATCAGTCTAACCAAAAAAAAGGGAATTTCAGCGACCCATCTAATAACATGGATGGTAGGTCTTCTCAGACCGTCTGCACGAGATGGAAGTTAATACCTGAAAACAGTGTCTAATCAAAAAAATAATCTAAAATGAACTGAAAAAATATGGCAAAAATAGGGTTGTGTGTCTGGAATCCTGAAAAAGTTAAGATTTTTTTTCTTGAAGCTTTGTAATTCATAAGAAGTCGAAAACAATCAAGCTCTCCATTCCTCACGTTATAGTTGTTACTTGTTAATCTACCCTACCTAAAACCACCCTGTTCATCAGCAATCCTATTCTGCCTTAACCTTAATACTTTTAATAAAATACCATACAGTTTACCTGGTATACTCAACAGGTTTATTGCCATATAATTCTTGTGCCCCATTTATCCCCTTTTCTCTTATACAAAGGAACTATGTATACTCTCACCCAATCCCTTGGTACCTTTACCCCTTTCATGTATTCTGTGAACATATGCACCAACCACTCCAAAACCATATCCCCACCTGCTTTTAATATTTCTATCTTGATCCCATCTATACCAGCTGCTTTGCCACATTTCATTCAACCCACTGTCTCGTGCAATTCTCCGTGCTCACGCCTAAAAGTTGTTATACTCCTTGAACAGTTTTTCAATTTACACAGGTTTTTGCAGCCTTCCCATAAATGCATGAAATGGCACACTGTAGTCATTGTAGTTTACAAAGTAAAATTGCAATGCACTAATCCTAAAAACCTATAAATACTTATTACCATCACTGTTTTAAATGTCATACCTGTCATCCAAAAGAGAAATATTAGTAGCTTTCTGCAAATGGTCACGACGATCAGTAGCAATGTTGAACTGAACCCAATCTCCATGACGCAATGTGAAGTCACCTTTCTGGTCTCTTTCCCCAAACTTAACTTCCACCTACAAATATAAAGTAAATTACAGCAGGCAACTTGAAGTGATATCAGAGACAGCTTTATGCTCTCTTTATCAATTATTCATACATCTAAAACTAACTTTTTCCAAATTTATTTCCTTTAATGTGCATAAATTACAATACAATGGACCCTCACCTAACAAACGCATCGCATAACGTTAAATCCGCCTAGCGATACATTTTAACGCAAAATTTTTGCCTCGGCTAGCGCTAAAAAACTCGCTCAACGCGATTCGTTCGAGACACGTCCACGTGCGGCCTGAGCCCGCCTCACTTGTTCCGTGGGTGCCAGTGTTTACAAGCCAGCCACCACGGTCGCATCTAAGCATACAATCGGAACATTTCATATTATCACAGCGTTTTTAGTGATTGCACCTGCAAAATAAGTCACCATGGACCCCAAGAAAGCTTCTAGTGCCAACCCTACAGCAAAAAGGGTGAGAATTACCATGGATATGAAGAAAGAGATCATTGCTAAGTATGAAAGTGGAGTGCGTGTCTCCGAGCTGGCCAGGCTGTACACAAAACCCCAATCAACCATTGCTACTATTGTGGCCAAGAAAACGGCAATCAAGGAAGCTGTTCTTGCCAAGGTGCAACTTTGTTTTCGAAACAGAGATCGCAAGTGATAGAAGATGTTGAGAGACTGTTATTGGTGTGGATAAATGAAAAACAGATAGCAGGAGATAGCATCTCTCAAGCGATCATATGTGAAAAGGCTAGGAAGTTGCATGACGATTTAATTAGAAAAATGCCTGCAACTAGTGGTGATGTGAGTGAATTTAAGGCCAGCAAAGGTTGGTTTGAGAGATTTAAGAATTGTAGTGGCATACGTAGTGTGATAAGGCATGGTGAGGCTGCCAGTTCGGACCAAAAAGCAGCTGAAAAATATGTGAAGGAATTCAAAGAGTACATAGACAGTGAAGATTTGAAACCTGAACAAGTGTTTAATTGTGACGAAACAGGCCTGTTTTGGAAGAAAATGCCAAGCAGGACCTACATTACTCAGGAGGAAAAGGCACTCCCAGGACATAAGCCTATGAAAGACAGGCTTACTCTGTTGATGTGCTAATGCTAGTGGTGATTGCAAAGTGAAGCCTTTATTGGTGTATCACTCTGAAACTCCAAGTGTTCAGGAAAAACAATGTCGTCAAGGCTAATTTGTGTGTGATGTGGAGGGCAAACAGTAAGGCATGGGTCACTAGAGACCTTTTCTATGACTGGTTACACCATGCATTTGCCCCCACTGTGAAAAATTACCTACTGGAAAATAAATTGGACCTTAAGTGCCTCCTGGTATTAGACAATGCTCCTGGTCATCCTTCAGACGTGGCAGAGCTACTTTCTGGGGACATGAGCTTCATTAAGGTCAAGTTTTTGCCTCCTAATACCACTCCTCTCCTGCAGCCCATGGACCAGCAGGTCATTGCAAACTTCAAAAACTCTACACAAATACTATGTTTGAAAGGTGCTTTGTAGTGACCTCAAAAACTCAATTGACTAAGAGGGTTTTGGAGAGATCACTTTAGCATCCTCAAATGTGTAAACATTATAGGCAAGGCTTGGGAGGAAGTGACTCAGAGGACCTTGAACTCTGCTTGGAAGAAACTGGCCAGAATGTGTAGACAAAAGGGATTTTGAAGGATTTGAGGCTAACCCTGAGAAGCCTATGCCAGTAGTGGAATCAATTGTGGCATTGGGGAAGTCCTTGGGGTTGGAGGTTAGTGGGGAGGATGTGGAAGAGTTGGTGGAGGAGGACAATGAAGAACTAACCACTGATGAGCTGCAAGATCACCTTCAACAGCAAGAGGCCACACCTGAGGAAACTGCTCCGGCGGAGGGACTAGAAAAATTGAGGAAGTTGCCTACTTCAAAGATTAAGGAAATGTGTGCAAAGTGGCTTGAAGTGCAAACCTTTTTTGATGAAAATCACCCTCACACAGCTCTTGCAAGCCATGATGGTGACTATTACACTGACAATGTTGTGAACCACTTTAGGAAAGTCATAAAAGGAAAGGGCGGTAACAGGCCTTATGAACAGATTGTTGTGCGACAGAGGTTCCAGTGACTCAAGCGGGTCCTAGTGGCATTAAAAGAAGAAGGGAAGTAAACCCCGGAAAAGGACTTGCCACCTCAAGGGGCCTGTAGGGCAAATTTCTGCGCGCGCGCTCACCCAAAAATCGAAAAATTATGGAAGTTGAGTTATATATACCAAAAAAATAGCTTAACTCTTTGGCAACACAATGGTACAAAAATCAATGTTCTATGACGTTTTCTACAAGAAAATTATAGTTATTTATATCAGGTATGGTGACGGGGGATGGGGGGTAGCGCGTCTGCTCCACGGCCCATATATTTTTTGGAGTTTTTTCCTGTTTTTTATCGCTTTTTCTTGCATTATTCTTTCTAATATAATAAATGACTATTTGGCATCATAAAACAGTAGGCGGAGATTATCCTTTAGACTTTGAGCCTACCGGGCCCCTCCCACCGCTCCAGAGTGTGCCAGGAGAAATCACTTATTATTATGCTTATATCAGCTTATATATCAACTCTACGGGCTTATTTATCTATCAGAATTAAACTAATATAATAAAACTATAAATAACATAACAAACATTTTTATATACTCTAGATGAATAAAATAGGCCATAATATGGCGAGAGATTATCGGGAATATTTCGATATTATTGAGTTACTCCTCTCCATGTCATATTCTTTGGTCTTGTAAGAGAAAACAGGTTTTGAAGAGGATAACTACACTAGAACATCAGTTTACTAAATACACCCAAACAAACATGATTTCGCAAATTTTTTTTTTTTTTGAGACGGGGGCCGGCTGGCGCTCCCGGCTGATATCTTGCAAGTAACTTATTCACTTAAAGTCCGTAATTCTTCCTTATTACTTAATTAAATGGAATAATATTCACAGAAATTGTAGAATAAATTTTCAAATTTTCCTGCGAGAAATTTTTGGAAATATTCCAATACTTTGGGATTTTATGTGGGAGGAAAAGGGCAGATTTTTTGCAATATTCCAGGAACTAACAAACTTTATTTTTTTGTGAAATAAGGATAAGTTATTTAGAGAAAAGGTCCCCCCAGAAAATTAGTATTAGCATTGTTCTCTCCGGCACCAAGTGTCCAAACAACCTTACGTAGTCCCTTTAAAAGAAATAATTTGGGCACAAGGGCATTTTCATTTAAATTCAGTCTTTTCTCAGTTGTTGTTTGAGGTATATTTTTGATAAATATTTTCAAGAAAGAGTGAAAACACTTTGTCTTGTGCACCAAAACTGGAGAAAATTGGAAGGTAAACAAAAGAGTTACAAATTTTGCCCGACGGCCTCCTCAAGTCCTAAGGAAGGGGGTTCCCCTTCTAAACATTAACACCATCCCCACACTCCCCTCCTCCATCCCATCAATCATCAAACCCGATTTTTCAATGAAGGTAAGTGTCATGTAATTGTACACGTCTTCTTCAGTTTGTGTGTATTAAAATTAATATTTCATGTGGTAAAATTTTTTTTTTCATACTTTGGGGTGCCAGGAACGGATTAATTTGATTTCCATTATTTCTTATGGGGAAAATTTAAATTTAGCTAACGATAATTTCGCCTAACGTTGAGCTCTCGGGAACGGATTAATATCGTTAAACGAGGGTCCACTGTACTTTTATTTTACTCAAACAAAAAAGAATAAAAAATACATAACATGTATTGTGTATTGCTCACTAACAAAAAATGACAAATGACAGGAAAAAATTAGATACTGACTTGTTATTAAAAAGGGACAAATTTCCCGATTTTATGTAGCCCCATGAATATATTCTTTACTTGAGCCTAACATAATCTTAAAGAATTTTTTTTTTTTTCCCCGCGAGTTGCAATACAGTGGACCCCCGCATAACGATGGCATCACATAGCGATTTTTTTTCCCCATACCCCTTACTTTTATCGCAAAATTTTTGCCGCGCCCCCTACCCATTTAAAAACCGCTCACCGATTTTCGTCCGAGACGCGTCCAATGTGCCCTCACTGTGCCACCCGTCCCATTGTTTACCAGCCAGCCTCCGCGGTAAAATCCAAGCATACACTCGGAATATTTCGTTTTTATTACAGTGTTTTCGGTGCTGTTTCTGGAAATAAGTGACCATGGGCCCCAAGAAAGCTTCTAGTGCCAACCCTGTGTAAAAAGGGTGAGAATTAGTATGGAAATTTAAGAAAGATTTTGAAGGGTTTGGGGCTAACCCTGAGAAGCCTATGCCAGTTGTGGAATCCATTGTGCCCACTCAAAGATTAAGGAAATGTGTGCACAGTGGGTTGAACTGCAAACCTTATAGATGAAAATCACCCTTTACACAGCTGTTGCAAGCCGTGCTGGTGACTATTTCAATGACAATGTTGTGGCCCATTTTAGACAAATCGTAAAGGAACGGGAGGTACAGAGCTCTATGGACAGATTTGTTGTGCGACAGAGGTCCAGTGACTCTCAAGCTGGTCCTAGTGGCATTAAAAGAAGAAGGGAAGTAACCCCGGAAAAGGACTTGCTACCTCAAGTCGTAATGGAAGGGGATTCCCCTTCTAAACAGTAAGAAGATAATGCTCTCCCCTCCTCCCATCCCATCAATCATCACCAGATCTTCAATAAAAGTAAGTGTCATGTAATTGTGCATGCCTTTTTCAGTTTGTGTGTATTAAAATTAACATTTCATGTGGTAAAAAAAAATTTTTTTCATACTTTTGGGCGTCTTGCACGGATTAATTTTATTTCCATTATTTCTTATGGGGAAAATTCATTCGCATAACGATTATTTCGCATAACAATTATCCCTCTTGCACGGATTAAAATCGTTAACCGGGGGTCCACTGTAATTGCGTAATGTAAATTTAGTTCACAGTTATGCAGGAGCAAAGACGATTATTTGGAGCAAAAGTTGAATCAAAAGATACGAGCTGCTTTAGAATTCCATGCCCAAATGTTACTACTGCTTATATCCAGGTACTCCGAAGAAAAAACCATGAACACATACCTCCGAGCGATCCTTGCCCCTGTAACGTATTCGGCCAGTGAGTGGATCCTTCTGGTTATGCCTAGGGTTCCTCTCTACTGGCTTCAACACTTGACCTCTTATTAATTCCTGGTTGATATCCTCAAACACAACTGTTCCAGGATTCAATTTTACCATGTTGGTTGCAACTTCTTTGCCCTGCAAATGAAATATACAACTATAATCACACAAATATGCTAAAGCTGGCAATTCAGCTCCAAAAGGATAACTAAACATTCAGTTAACACTATTGTTTTGTTCAAGGGTTTTCTTATTTTATTTTCATTTATTAAGTTCCCAAATTCCATCATTTGTCCTCTTTGCCATTCACAATAGTACTTATTTTATAAAGAATTAGAGTTCCATTTTTCACATCCTTCAGGAACCCCTAAGTAGTAGACAAGAGAGGGGCAGGGGACATCTTAAGAAAGGCTGAAGGGAAGGAGTGAAAAAAGTTTTGAGGAAGGAGCTTCAACAACATCTAGAAGGCATGTGTGAGCATGTTAGGTTGGAGCAAGAGGGATAAAGGATTGCTGGGATTTGATGCGCTGTTGTGAGAGAGTAAGGTAATATTTATGAACAGTGGTCACCCACACAGAAAATGAGACAGACTATGCGACTTAGTGATTCTGTTGGTACCGTACACTCACCTCATTTTTATTACTTTTTGTCTAATACATGGCTCGCAAAACACTTCTCTCCTACATAAAGCTTAGACTAAAAATCAAGAATCACTTCATTCAAAAATTTATTTACTGGTACTTACATTGCGGGTCTGAATGAAGAACTCAACGTCATCACCTAGCTTCAGCCCTCCAGGAATATTCTTAGCCTCAGAGAAGTGAAAGAAGATCTCGTCCACAACATCTGCTCGCTCAATGAATCCATATGAATCTTTGATAGTACTAACAACCCCTTGGTATTTGACAGGCTGTGCAGGATTCTCCAAGCGCACATGGCGTGCAGCTAGGTTGCCAGTCCTATTTCAAGGTACAGTATAATCATTATACATACCAAATGCATTAAATAAGTGAAACACACAACTTTACTAACATTTACATGGACTAAGCAAGTGCCAAAGAATACTAAACAGTATTAAACATCCACACATGTTAATCAGGTGTAAGAAGCTTATGACGACGTGATGGTGATAAATTTCAAGTAACAAGTACATACAGTATATGCAAGTTCCCAAATAATGGTGAGTGAACTGCCATCACAATGAAATATACAACTTGTATGCTAATTCATCAGTTTACTTAATGAAATTACCAGTTAACTTACATTACAGTTAGGGAACTATGGACCTCAGAGAATTTACACAGTTCAATTCTAGCCTTTTAACCCTTTGAGGGTCCAGACCCCTAATCTGGAAATTCCCCACAGGAAAAAAAAAATTCTTACGAAATAGTAGACAATGTTTTTATGAAGGTAATAAAACAAAAAGTATTAAATTTGATGGAAAACTTACAGAATTGTGCTATCGCGAAGCTAGCGGTCTCGGCGATATTTACGCATCGGCAATTTCACCCACCTTGAGCCCTATTTTGGGCCAATTCCATTGTTCCAGTCAACCGAACTCATAGGTATTTCACTAGAACTACCTTTATTTACCTATTTCAACTACCCAATAAAGTGATCTGAAATTACTAATCTGGCCAATTTCTCTCAAAATTCAAAAAAGGTCAATTCCAAAATGGGGTCCAGAATAAACGATGCAGGCATTCCTGGCACTAAAATAACATTTCCTCTGTTTGTTAGTTATATTTCCAGGCTTTACAGATGAAATCCATTTTTATTTTTTATTCACAAAGAATTTTTATTCACACCAAAAAATAAACAAATTACTGTTATGCAATATTGTAATAAATGTATGAATAATATCAGCACATTCGTGAACGCACATTAGACCCACCAGCAGACGTGTGTTGGAAATGTGATGTGATTTGTTTACTCAGAACATTTCTGCCACTCTGAGCTCAATTTCAAGCTATTTTCATTACTAAAACTAATCAAAATCATCTCTATTTCTGTAACAGATAGGAGTGAATGGAGACGAATGGTTTTTGGGAGCTGACGAGCTGTTGGAGTGTGAGCAGGGTAATATTTAGTGAAGGAATTCAGGGAAACTAGTTATTTTTATATAGCCAGACTCAAGTACTGGAAATGGGAAGTACAATGCCTGCACTTTAAAGGAGTGGTTTGGGATATTGGCAGTTTGGAGGGATATGTTATATATGCTTCTAAACTCTTGTATCTTGGCACCTCTGCAAAGACAGTTATTATGTATGAGTGAGGTGAAAGTGTTGAATGATGATGAAAGTATTTTCTTTTTTGGGGGGATTTTTTCTTTTTTGGGTCATCCTGCCTCAGTGGGAGACGGCCAACTTGTTGGAAAAAAAATAAATCTTTCCATTCTACCAAATGAGATGAAATCGCAAATACATCTGTAAAAGCCATATGAAAATACAGTACACCACAAAGTCACAATTTTAATCCAAAAAGTCGCCATTTTTTTCTCATTATGCACTGCATGCTTCAGGCTTTGTTTTATATGGAGCACATTTACCACATACACGCATTCTTTCATAGCTAGGCCCAAATTTACTTCTCACAGCTTATCTGACCAAGTTGAGCTCATGTAGAACTACGGCTTGGACCCTGGCTTCAAACCATAGAACTACAGGATGGACCCTCAAAAGGTTAAAGTACTACAACAATATTCTTTTAACTCATCACTTACTCTCCAGCTACCTTTGTGAAGAGTATGATCACCACAGTTCATTGTCATGTATTTGTATCACAGTGATCTTGAAATATACTTCCAGTACTTATAATTTCCTCACTGCAACATTTGAGGTCACACATCATACTTCACAATCACAGTGTCAGTGCAACTATACTCAGATACATTCCTACTTTTCCACTCACTGACAACTTTGTTCTTTAAATTCTTTTGTTACATTCCATATATGTACTAATCTAGTAATTTCTTACCTTGCAATGTTCATATTAGCTTAATTTTTTTCTACCTTTTTGTGCAATAAGTTACATCATCTAGACCCATACTCTGTATAACATCTTACTTTGTATTTACCTGCATTGTTTAACTGATTAACTTAAATTTTTACCTTATTTTGCCTTATAAGTTATCCTGTCAGACTACAACTCTGTACATTGTCCTTAATTTCATTACTGATTTTATCTGTAGTCAAACCAACTAAGTACATTTACCAATACCTTTACTTCACCCATCTCTTATTCCCACTTCAAATTTTATGAATGTTGACACTGACATTGATTTAAATTATTTTTTTTTTTTTAACAAGTCAGCCATCTCCCACCGAGGCAGGGTGACCCAGAAAGAAAGAAAATCCCCAAAAAGAAAATACTTTCATCATCATTCAACACTTTCACCTCACTCACACATAATCACTGTTTTTGCAGGTGCTCAGAATACAACAGTTTAGAAGAATATACGTATATAAAGATACACAACATATCCCTCCAAACTGCCAATATCCTAAACCCCTCCTTTAAAGTGCAGGCATTGTACTTCCCATGTCCAGGACTCAAGTCCGGCTATATAAAATAACTGGTTTCCCTGAATCCCTTCACTAAATATTACCCTGCTCACACTCCAACAGCTTATCAGGTCCCATATACCATTCGTCTCCATTCACTCCTATCTAACACGCTCACGCACGCTTGCTGGAAGTCTAAGCCCCTCGCCCACAAAACCTCCTTTACCCCCTCCCTTCACCTTTTCGAGGACAACCCCTACCCCGCCTTCCTTCCCCTACAGATTTATACGCTCTCCATGTCATTCTACTTTGATCCATTCTCTCTAAATGACCAAACCACCTCAACATCCCCTCTTCAGCCCTCTGACTAATACTTTTATTAACTTCACACCTTCTCTTAATTTCCACACTCCGAATTTTCTGCATAATACTTACACCACACATTGCCCTTAGACAGGACATCTCCACTGCCTCCAACCACCTCCTCGCTGCAGCATTTACAACCCAAGCTTCACACCCATATAAGAGTGTTGGTACTACTATACTTTCATACATTCCTTCTTTGCCTCCAAAGATAACATTTTTTGTCTCCACATATACCTCAATGCACCACTCCCCTTTTTTCTTTCATCAATTCTATGATTAACCATATCCTTCATAAATCCATCCGCTGACACGTTATCTCCCAAATATCTGAAAACATTTACTTCTTCCATACTCCTCCTCCCCATTTTGATATCCAATTTTTCTTTATCTAAATCATTTGATACCCTCATCACCTTACTCTTTTCTATGTTCACTTTCAACTTTCTACCTTTACACACACTCCCAAATTCGTCCACTAACCTTTGCAATTTTTCTTTAAATCTCCTATGTTATGTAAATGGTAATCAATACTTCCCTGAAAATAACTGTCTATGCCACACAGCAAATCATGCAAAAACTCTTCTCAGCAACACCAGGAATATATCAATATTCAGCTACAATATTAGATTCCTGAGTAAACTACTGTTAATTATTACTTTCATGACCAATGCCTGCACGTGTATTTTATATAATTTTTTTTTTCACACGCCGGCCATCTCCCACCGAGGCAGGGTGACCCGAAAAAGAAACACTTTCAACATCATATGGCATTATAAATGTTCAAGCTTAATGAAAATTATTACAATATTAATATTAATGGCTACTCTTATTAAAGCACGTTAAGCGTGAAATGAGAGGAGTGGCTCTTGAGATTTTAAAATGCTGTTGGGAAGATAATATCTGAAGGTACACTAGGAAACCAACTAGCTGGAACTAGAGTTTTCGGAGTTAGAAAGTACAGTGCCTGCAATTTGGAAGTGGGATGGGGATGATGTGAATCCGTGGAACCATAATGCACTGTACAGAGCAGATAATTTCTGAATGGCAGCTGGTGATAATGAAGACTTTTGTCATAAACTTTCAGAAACTTTCTTTGCTGGTATCTGTGGTTTTGTATAATGTACTATAGGAAATTTATTGATGTAGGATAATGACTGTACAGTATTTATATAGATTATATATGACATTAAAAGTCTTTAATTATAGACATAAACTAACAGAGTATTAGAAAAAAAAATCTTCACCAAACATTTCTATCTTGTTTTGCATAACCAAATATACAAAGATTCCCAAATGCACTGTATATCTTTATTCTTATTATTATTATTATTAAAAGTAGTAGGTTGGTAGACAGCAACCACCCAGGGAGGTACTACCGTCCTGCCAAGTGAGTGTAAAACAAAAGCCTGTAATTGTTTTACATGATGGTAGGATTGCTGGTGTCTTTTGTCTGTCTCATAAATATGCAAGATTACAGGCATGTCTTGCTACTTCTACTTACACTTAGGTCACACTACACATACATATACAAGTTTATTTATACACACTCATCTGAGTTTTCTTTGATTTTCTCTTAATAGTTCTTGGTCTTATTACTTTTCCTTTTATATCCATGGGGAAGTGGAATAAGAATCTTTCCTCCGTAAGCCATGCGTGTTGTAAAAGTCAACTAAAATGCCGGGAACAATGGGCTAGTAACCCCTTTTCCTGTAAAGATTACTAAAAAGAATAAGAAGAAGAAAATTGTCAAAGTGGGAAGTCTGAATGTGCGTGGATGTTGTGCAAATAAGAAAGAGACGATTGTGGATGTTATGAATGAGAAGAAGCTGGATGTCCTGGCTTTAAGTGAAACAAAGCTGAAGGGGGTGGGAGAGTTTCAATGGAGAGGAATAAATGGGATTAGATCAGGGGTTTCAAATAGAGTTAGAGCTAAAGAAGGAGTAGCAATAATGTTGAAGGATAAGCTATGACAGGAAAAGAGGGACTACAAATGTATTAATTCAAGGATTATGTGGAGTAAAATAAAGATTGGATGTGAAAATGGGTTATACTAAGCGTGTATGCACCTGGAGAAGAGAGAAGTGTACAGGAGAGAGAGATTTTGGGAAATGTTGAGTGAATGCGTGGGGAGTTTTGAATCAAGTGTGAGAGTAATGGGGGTTGGGGATTTAAATGCTAAAGTGGGTAAAAATGTTGTGGAGGTAGTAGGTAAATTTGGGGTGCCAGGGGTAAATGTAAATGGGGAGCCTTTAATTGAGCTATGTGTAGAAAGAGATTTGGTAATAAGTAATACATATTTTATGAAAAAGAGGATAAATAAATATACAAGGTATGATGTAGCACGTAATGAAAGTAGTTTGTTAGATTATGTATTGGTGGATAAAAGGTTGATGGGTAGGCTCCAGGATGTACACGTTTATAGAGGGGTAACTGATATATCGGATCATTATTTAGTTATAGCTACAGTTAAAGGTAGATGGGAAAAGAGGAAGGTGGCAACAACAAATAAGAGGGAGGTGAAAGTGTATAAACTAAGGGAGGAGGAAGTTCGGGTGAGATATAAGCGACTATTGGCAGAAAGGTGGGCTAGTGCAAAGTTGAGTAGTGGGGGGGTTGAAGAGGGATGGAATAGTTTTAAAAATGCAGTATTAGAATGTGGGGCAGAAGTTTGTGGTTACAGGAGGGTGGGGGCAGGAGGAAAGAGGAGTGATTGGTGGAATGATAAAGTAAGGGGTGTGATAAAAGAGAAAAAGGTAGCTTATGAGAGGTTTTTACAAAGCAGAAGTGTTATAAGAAGAGCAGAGTATATGGAGAGTAAAAGAAAGGTGAAGAGAGTGGTGAGAGAGTGCAAAAGGAGAGCAGATGATAGAGTGGGAGAGGCACTGTCAAGAAATTTTAATGAAAATAAGAAAAATTTTGGAGTGAGTTAAACAAGTTAAGAAAGCCTAGGGAAAGTATGGATTTGTCAGTTAAATACAGAGTAGCGGAGTTAGTAGATGGGAAGAGGGAGGTATTAGGTAGATGGCGAGAATATTTTGAGGAACTTTTAAATGTTGAGGAAGAAAGGGAGGCGGTAATTTCATGCAGTGGCCAGGGAGGTATACCATCTTTTAGGAGTGAAGAAGAGCACAATGTAAGTGTGGGGGAGGTACGTGAGGCATTACGTAGAATGAAAGGGGGTAAAGCAGCTGGAACTGATGGGATCATGACAGAAATGTTAAAAGCAGGGGGAAGGGATATAGTGGTGGAGTGGTTGGTACTTTTGTTTAATAAATGTATGAAAGAGGGGAAGGTACCTAGGGATTGGCAGAGAGCATGTATAGTCCCTTTATATAAAGGGAAAGGGGACAAAAGAGATTGTAAAAATTATAGAGGAATAAGTTCACCGAGTATACCAGGAAAAGTATACGGTAGGGTTATAACTGAAAGAATTAGAGGTAAGACAGAAGGTAGGATTGCGGATGAGCAGGGGGGGTTACAGAGTGGGTAGGGGATGTGTAGATCAAGTGTTTACATTGACGCATATATGTGAACAGTATTTAGATAAAGGTAGGGAAGCTTTTATTGCATTTATGGATTTAGAAAAGGCATATGATAGAGTGGATAGAGGAGCAATGTGGCAGATGTTGCAAGTATATGGAATAGGTGGTAAGTTACTAAATGCTGTAAAGAGTTTTTATGAGGATAGTGAGGCTCATGTTAGGGTGTGTAGAAGAGAGGGAGAATACTTCCCAGTAAAAGTAGGTTTTAGACAGGGATGTGTAATGTCACCATGGTTGTTTAATATATTTATTGATGGGGTTGTAAAAGAAGTAAATGCTAGGGTGTTCGGGAGAGGGGTGGGATTAAATTATGGGAATCAAATTCAAAATGGGAATTGACACAGTTACTTTTGCTGATGATACTGTGCTTATGGGAGATTCTAAAGAAAAATTGCTAAGGTTAGTGGATGAGTTTGGGAATGTGTGTAAAGGTAGAAAGTTGAAAGTGAACATAGAAAAGAGTAAGGTGATGAGAGTATCAAATGATTTAGATAAAGAAAAATTGGATATCAAATTGGGGAGGAGGAATATGGAAGAAGTGAATGTTTTCAGATACTTGGGAGTTGACGTGTCGGCGGATGGATTTATGAAGGATGAGGTTAATCATAGAATTGATGAGGGAAAAAAGGTGAGTGGTGCGTTGAGGTATATGTGGAGTCAAAAAACGTTATCTATGGAGGCAAAGAAGGGAATGTATGAAAGTATAGTAGTACCAACTCTCTTATATGGATGTGAAGCTTGGGTGGTATAATGCAGCAGCGAGGAGACGGTTGGAGCAGTGGAGATGTCCTGTCTAAGGGCAATGTGTGGTGTAAATATTATGCAGAAATTCGGAGTGTGGAAATTAGGAAAAGTGTGGAGTTAATAAAAGCATTAGTCAGAGGGCAGAAGAGGCCTTGTTGAGGTGGTTTGGTCATTTAGAGAGAATGGATCAAAGTAGAATGAATGAAAAGCATATAAATCTAAAGGGGAAGGAAGGAGGGGTAGGGTCGTCCTCGAAAGGGTTGGAGAGACGGGGTAAAGGAGATTTTGTGGGCGAGGGGCTTGGACTTCCAGCAAGTGTGCGTGAGCGTGTTAGATAGGAGTGAATTGAGACGAATGGTACTTGGGACCTGACAATCTGTTGGAGTGTGAGCAGGGTAATATTTAGTGAAGGGATTCAGGGAAACCGGTTATTTTCATATAGTCGGACTTGAGTCCTGGAAATGGGAAGTACAATGCCTGCACTTTAAAGGAGGAGTTTGGGATATTGGCAGTTTGGAGGGATATGTTGTGTATCTTTATACGTATATGCTTCTAAACTGTTGTATTCTGAGCACGTCTGCAAAAACAGTGATAATGTGTGAGTGTGGTGAAAGTGTTGAATGATGATGAAAGTATTTTCTTTTTGGGGATTTTCTTTCTTTTTTGGGTCACCCTGCCTCGGTGGGAGACGGCCGACTTGTTGGAAAAAAAAAAAAATCTTTATTACTGTTTCACAAAAAACTCGTGTCCAAAACTCCTTCAGGGTTAAGTGAAATGTAACAAAACTTAAAGATCAAAATATCTTGAAGTCATACCTTTGGTTGGTAGCTATCTGGAAACTGACTTTGTCTCCTGGTTTGAGAGTAACGTATCCCTCAACATCTTCTTTGCCATAGGGGAGAAAGAAACATTCGCCACGGTTCTCGTAAGTAATCCTTCCCTGGTGTTCTCCTCCTGACTCGCTACGTAACTCAGTTGTCACAATACCAATCACTCTCTCCTCACTAAGCACCTAATTATATGAAAAACTAAAATTAAAAAAAAAAAAAATAAAAATGAAAATCAATTTTGAAAAAAGTTTAGCATAGAGTGTGAATACGTAAAGATTATATACAGGGGTCCATAAATAACAAAAAAAGGCACAATACCGTGACTGGACCCGCACATAGGAGAGAGAAGCTTACGACGATGTTTCGGTCCAACTTTGTAAATGGTCCAAGTTGGACCGAAACGTCATCGTAAGCTCCTCTCTTCTATGTGTGGGTTATTTGTGTATTATATACAGTGGAACCTCTACTTATGAGTGCATCCACATGCGAGTTTTTCCAGATATGAACAGCAGCTCTGTTGATTTTTTGCATCCAGACGCGAGCGAAATTTCCAGATGCAAGCGGGCCTCAAGGGAGGTTCCTTGACGCTGGTGAGGGGGCTCTTGCTCTTGATCTAAGGAATTTTATCTAAGTTGTGTTGGACTATCTTACTGAAACTTGGGCAACGTATGATGGAAAGATGCTTAACATACACCAAAAATGAAAGAAATCAGACCATAAATAACGAAGTTCACTTCTCAGCCACTAGCCTTCCCTTAGCGGTATATTTTCATATGTTTTTTATGGCTGTATTCTTGTTTTTATGATCTCGTTTGATAGAATGGACGATATACTATAGAAATATATATTTTTCTTTTATTTTTAGCATCACACTGGCCGATTCCCACCACGGCAGGGTGGCCCGAAAAAGAAAAACTTTCACCATCATTCACTCCATCACTGTCTTGCCAGAAGGGTGTTTTACACTACAGTTTTTAAATTGCAACATTAACACCCCTCCTTCAGAGTGCAGGCACTGTACTTCCCATCTCCAGGACTCAAGTCCGGCCTGCCGGTTTCCCTGAACCCCTTCATAAATGTTACTTTGCTCACACTCCAACAGCACGTCAAGTATTAAAAACCATTTGTCTCCATTCACTCCTATCAAACACGCTCACGCATGCCTGCTGGAAGTCCAAGCCCCTCGCACACAAAACCTCCTTTACCCCCTCCCTCCAACCTTTCCTAGGCCGACCCCTACCCCGCCTTCCTTCCACTACAGACTGATACACTCTTGAAGTCCTTCTGTTTCGCTCCATTCTCTCTACATGTCCGAACCACCTCAACAACCCTTCCTCAGCCCTCTGGACAACAGTTTTGGTAATCCCGCACCTCCTCCTAACTTCCAAACTACGAATTCTCTGCATTATATTCAAAATAAAGATACCTAACTGTTGCATATGTGTCTTACCTAAACAACCTGTCGGTATTTTATACCATTTTATTGTTCATTATATTCACACCACACATTGCCCTCAGACATGACATCTCCACTGCCTCCAGCCTTCTACTCGCTGCAACATTCATCACCCATGCTTCACACCCATATAAGAGCGTTGGTAAAACTACTCTTATACATTCCCCTCTTTGCCTCCAAGGACAAAGTTCTTTGTCTCCACAGACTCCTAAGTGCACCACTCACCCTTTTCCCCTCATCAATTCTATGATTCACCTCATCTTTCACAGACTCATCCGCTGACACGTCCACTCCCAAATATCTGAATACATTCACCTCCTCCATACTCTCTCCCTCCAATCTGATATCCAATCTTTCATCACCTAATCTTTTTGTTATCCTCATAACCTTACTCTTTCCTGTATTCACTTTTAATTTTCTTCTTTTGCATACCTTACCAAATTCATCCACCAATCTCTGCAACTTCTCTTCACAATCTCCCAAGAGCACAGTGTCATCAGCAAAGAGCAACTGTGACAACTCGCACTTTATGTGTGATTCTTTATCTTTTAACTCCACGCCTCTTGCCAAGACCCTTGCATTTACTTCTCTTACAACCCCATCTATAAATATATTAAACAACCACAGTGACATCACGACATCATGACAGTAAGTACCTTGAAACTGAGCTCAAAATAGTAGAAGTGTTTGATTCTTTGGCGATGTTCAAGAGTAAACAAATGATGTCACCGTCCAATACCTGTCCGAGTGGCACTGCCCCTCAACCTTCACATATTGGAAAGCTCTTCAACATGCTAGCAAAAGTGGGAGCAGACATCATGACGTAACAGTGGCAGACAACATGAAGCAGCAGTGGCAGACCTTGTACCTTGAAAACAACATTGTTGTACCCTGGTAACAACAACAATGGCCACTGTCACCACCACTAGCCATATATGTAATGTCATGTATTTTATTCATTCTAGTGTATATATCACGTTTTTATGTCATTAACATTGTTTATTACGTCATATTAGATAAATTCTGATAGATAAATAGGCCGTAGACTTGATATTAGGGAAATTATTGAAGTACGTATTTTGTCATGCCTGGAATTCCACTGGAACGGATTAATTCCATTTCAATTAATTTAAATGAGGAAAATTGACTCTGCAAAAGAGTAAATCCAGATGCGAGCATAGTCACGGAACGGATTAAACTCTTAAGTAGAGGTTCCACTGTATCTAGTATAGCAATGTTACCATAATTAAAATTAGCAAGTAGCAGCAGGCCACAACCAGCAACAGCTTGGCCCAGAACCAGGCTGTGTTTACCTGGAGAGAGTTCCGGGGGTCAACGCCCCCGCGGCCCAGTCTGTGACCAGGCCTCCTGGTGGATCAGAGCCTGATCAACCAGGCTGTTACTGCTGGCTGCACGCAAACCAACGTACGAGCCACAGCCCGGCTGGTCAGGAACCAACTTTAGGTGCTTGTCCAGTGCCAGCTTGAAGACTGCCAGGGGTCTATTGGTAATCCCCCTTATGTATGCTGGGAGGCAGTTGAACAGTCTCGGGCCCCTGACACTTATTGTATGGTCTCTTAACGTGCTAGTGACACCCCTGCTTTTCATTGGAGGGATGTTGCATCGTCTGCCAAGTCTTTTGCTTTCGTAGTGAGTGATTTTCGTGTGCAAGTTCGGTACTAGTCCCTCTAGGATTTTCCAGGTGTATATAATCATGTATCTCTCCCGCCTGCGTTCCAGCGAATACAGGTTTAGGAACCTCAAGCGCTCCCAGTAATTGAGGTGTTTTATCTCCGTTATGCGCGCCGTGAAGGTTCTCTGTACATTTTCTAGGTCAGCAATTTCACCTGCCTTGAAAGGTGCTGTTAGTGTGCAGCAATATTCCAGCCTAGATAGAACAAGTGACCTGAAGAGTGTCATCATGGGCTTGGCCTCCCTAGTTTTGAAGGTACTCATTATCCATCCTGCCAATTTTCTAGCAGATGCAATTGATACAATGTTATGGTCCTTGAAGGTGAGATCCTCCGACGTGATCACTCCCAGGTCTTTGACGTTGGTGTTTCGCTCTATTTTGTGGCCAGAATTTGTTTTGTACTCTGATTAAGATTTAATTTCCTCGTGTTTACCATATCTGAGTAATTGAAATTTCTCATCGTTGAACTTCATATTGTTTTCTGCAGCCCACTGGAAGATTTGGTTGGTGTCCACCTGGAGCCTTGCAGTGTCTGCAATGGAAGACACTGTCATGCAGATTCGGGTGTCATCTGCAAAGGAAGACACGGTGCTGTGGCTGACATCCTTGTCAGCCACAGCACAGCCCAGCCCAGCCCCATCCTTGTGGGGAAAGAAATCTCAAAAACCCATTAACAGCAAATCAAAGGTACATATACGTACTGTGAAATGTGTATATAACTGCTGTACTAATGCCTCATAATTTACAGAATTAAATAACTTGAATCATTAATTATTTTAAATCTACCTTATCAAGATGAATTAACATTTCCTTACCACTTCTGGAGAAATCTTAGTGACCGCTGATGCAATAGGCTTGCCCGTACGACGATCAAAGGTTACCTCAAACTCCACAGGATCTCCAATGCGGAGATGCTCTGTGTTGCCGTCAAACTGCGAGAAATGAAAGAAGAGCCTTGCCTGTCGCTCACAGCACTGAATGAACCCATACGTTTGCTGAAATAATACATGAGGATGTAGACATAGTAAATTTAACATTTTATGATCTCAACTGGGAGCAGAAGAATGACAACACTAGATTACAATATCATGAAAAATGGCAGGTGGAAGAGGCTATGAGTCAACAAATTTTGTCTATATCCATTATGAAGGGAGAAAGGCAAGTAAAAAAAAAGGGGGGGGAGGGGCAAAATGATTTTCCAGTACATGAATCAAACTATATTACAAGTCATCTGTGAAGCATAGAAGGGGGAAAAATTAAAAAAAAAAAAAAAACAATATGTACAGAGATGTCTGCTCTCATTAAATTATAAAACAGCAAAAGGTGCTGAAGAAATTAAATTTAGTACCAAACTGTACAGTTAACTGACATAAGCACAATATAACTCAACAATAACTATCAAATTTGATTAATACTTACTAACAGTTTCTCGATGATACCAGTCTCTCGCACGCTCTGACTATTATTACTTGACATTCCATTGCTATGCGAATAAGAATTAGTGGTCTCTTGACCATTTGATTCTGCTGGAAAACCATTGGCATTGAGAGTGAATGTTCCAATCTTGAAGTCTGGAACAGGAGGAGTGTACTGGGAGCTTGAGTTAGAATTATAATAACTGGATGAGGAAGATAACTGTGGAGAACGAGGAGGGCCCTGAGACTGTGGTGGTGGCGGTGGTGGCTGCTGCTGCTGTTGGTGCTGCTGCTGCTGCTGCTGTGAATGCTGTGAATGCTGCTGCTGCTGCTGCTGCTGCTGCTGCTGCTGTTGCTGCTGCTGCTGTTGCTGTTGCTGCTGTTGTTGCTGCTGTTGCTGCTGCTGCTGCTGCTGCTGCTGCTGCTGAGTATGTTGCTGTGAATGCTGTTGTGAATGGTTATTAGCTTGATGATTCGACTGGTGGCTTGACTGGTGAACAGACTGATTGGATTGTTGATTAGATTGGTGATTATTCATATGGGAGGAAAATACATTATGTTGTGGTGTAGGACATATAAAGCTGGGAGACAGTGGAGCCATATTATTGCGAGATTGGTGGTGGTTAGAGAGTGGAGAATCATAGAAACCATTGTATCGACTGTGGTGTTGCAGGCTGCTCCCGTTGTATTCCAGTACTGCTGGTTCAGAGATTGGCGGCTGGAATAGGTTCCACTGAGGATCCATGGCTGGTGTCGATGTTACTACTGTATTTACAAACACTTAGTATATCTTCGCTCCTCTTGTCTTCACACTTACTTCGTAGGAACAAGGATTACATAAGATGCTTCACAGATGAACCACTACATAGGATGCTTGATCAAAAATATTGTTGCTGCTTTGATTCACTTTATGTTTAAGAGCATAAGGAGTATTTTCAGATTCACAAAAGGCAAGCTTTACAATCCAAAATAAATTTGACATCCATATCACTGGACAAGGTAAAAACTAAATAAAAAAAAAGTTTATTTGACCAGAAGGCAGACTTTCAGGATAAACAATACATCTAACACTCGGACTTTGGTCAACAAAGATTCTACGTAACACAGATTCTTGCGACGAGACTGGTTTACAAAATGCTCAATAAATAGAAGGGGGCGGCATTTGAAAAAAAAGCACTTCTTTTGTGACAGAATGTGTAAGAGAAGACTTTGTGGTGATTTGGCGGTGATAACTGTCTTGTATGGGGGGTGGTGGTCCTCAGATGTCACTCAGTTGCTTGTGCCGTGCTTTGGTGCCAATAGTGCAGGCCAGGCTTGGGTTTGAAACTTAAGTATTGCAGTAGTTTCCTTCTACCAGAATGAATGCTATGACTTGGCAGTTGTGTTTCTTTGGGTTGGCTTGCAGAGGTTGCTTATATTTTGCTACATCTAGGTAGGCTTGATTTGTTAGTGAGAACTTGTGGACTTCTAATCTAATTGAATTTTGCTTGGCTGCTGTTTAGTTGATGTTAATTAATCAAGTCTTCTGATGTTCAGACTCGACTGAAAATACAGGAAAGGGCATCAAAATACAATGGTCTAATTGTACAAAAAATGTATTAGATAAAACGGAGAACTTCAAATCACAAAAATGCAAAATAATAATATATTAAAAATCAAGACATTCAATAAAGCTGTGTGACAAAGTCACCAACTCAGAGCAAGTCACTAGGCCATTTTTCTTACTTAATATATGCTTTCCAAAATGTTTGAAAAGAATGTGCAGTGCATTCACAGTGTACAAGTTCAGTAGCAGATGATGACAACCTTGTTTGGATTATTAACCCAGATTAGCAGCCCATAATTTTACATTATCATATTTACACTAATTTCACACTCCAATGCTTTTCTCAGTCATGTACCTGCATTTCTACAATTGGTGACATAATAAACTGAAAAATTACTTTAAAGTTTTGTAATGCTGATCTTAACTGAAGCTCACCCATGACAAAAGTCATTTGTGTTGGTGAGTCACCACTGCTTCAGCCATAGTGAACTGTACTGAACAACAGGCAACACTGCTGCACACCTCCAGACACAACCTACTACATCTAAAGGAGCAGGGGTCATACAGCACAAGCCAACATAAATCTTAACAAGCAACATTTCACACTATTTTATTACAATACTACTTGGTTATTACTTTCTCAAATGAATTCATCTTTAGCACTGTGCATGTTTGTTTGGTATAGAGGTGGCAAGCTCCTATATGTTTGGTACAATTTGGAAAGGAAATGCAGCTTTTATTTTTATATTTTTCTTTGATTTGGCTATATCAAATGCACTTATCTTTAGGTTTTTACATGGAGAGTGCCTATATGTTTGGTAGAATTTAGATAAAAAAATGTGACTTATTTTTACTATGTTTACACACGTACTACCTAGTGTTGAGTCATAAGCCTCACTATATTTGACTCGGCTCATTAGGACCATACACTTCCTCCACCAAGCAAAACTCTTTGGATGTATTTTTGATGTATTAATTGGGATATTTTAAAAAGAGTAGTTTACCATTTTTTGGAGGTCTCGACTACATAACACTTTCCTGCATGTTCTTCACTTTACCATAATGCCATTTATTTCATAAGAATGTATCCCCAGCAATATGAGGGGGCTTACCATATCTGTCTTTACCTTAACTTAGCTTCCGAAAACACGTACACTGCTTGTATGCACATCAAGGAATATCTAGCATCTTCACCTACATAAAGTTTGTTAAAAGCTCTGCCAGGAATGGTGAAGATGGAATGTGCTGACATCCCTATCACTGCAAGTGGTTGCTCTTATGATGCCCATAAGTTTAGTGGTCTGTTAACACACTTGCTGATATATTCGTAGTCATCACTGTTGTCATTGCCTTGATGTCGGCCAGTAAAAGAGAATTGCAGTGAGATAAGCCTGTTAAGTATACTTTGCCCAGGTAAGTGTACAGTAGAATAAATTATTAAAGAGAGTTGGGGAAAATGAAGTATGAATGTTAAAGAAACAAGGCTGAATTGGGAAAGGAAGGCTGTGGAAGTACAGGAACACAAATAGTTACATAAATTATCATACACAGCAGTGTGTGTGTAGATTACCTAGGATACCTGGAGTTTACCTGGAGAGAGTTCCGGGGGTCAACGCCCCAGCGGCCCGGTCTGTGACCAGGCCTCCTGGTGGATCAGAGCCTGATCAACCAGGCTGTTACTGCTGGCTGCACGCAAACCAACGTATGAGCCACAGCCCGGCTGGTCAGGAACTGACTTTAGGTGCTTGGCCAGTGCCAGCTTGAAGACTGCCAGGGGTCTGTTGGTAATCCCCCTTATGTATGCTGGGAGGCAGTTGAACAGTCTTGGGCCCCTGATACTTATTGTATGGTCTCTTAACGTGCTAGTGACACCCCTGCTTTTCATTGGGGGATAACCCAAAAAGTCAGACAAAGTGGCATATTTCCATTGGGGTTCTTGCAATATCTTATTTAAATCTTAAAAATTAAAACAGGTAAGTCAGTCAACCATGTAAAAGCAGTTACAATAAAAGAAGATACTAGGAATAAGGTAAAATGAGTTATTTACATTAAAGAGATGATCAGATCACAGTAATGTTAGCTATACAAGAAATTACTTTCCTCCCTTTCTGTAGCTACATTCATTAGGTACCTTGTGGCTCTCTTTCTGAGCTGCCTAATGCTGTGATGGGATATGACATGTGCAGGCAGTCTGTTCTACTCCTTTACTGCTGTACAGTAAAATGTGTTTGAAGCCCGAGACTGTTCAACTGCCTCCCAGCACACATAAGGGGGATTACCAACAGACCCCTGGCAGTCTTCAAGCTGGCACTGGACAAGCACCTAAAGTCAGTTCCTGATCAGCCGGGCTGTGGCTCGTACGTTGGTTTGCGTGCAGCCAGCAGCAACAGCCTGGTTGATCAGGGGCTGATCCACCAGGAGGCCTGGTCACAGACCGGGCCACGGGGACGTTGACCCCCGAAACTCTCTCCAGGTAAACCTACTGTGGGTACTACAAAGTTGTGTACCCTTCCCCTAGTACTATACTCGCTTTGGTTCCCAGCCTTGACAAACTTGGCAGCAAGATATTTGGGACTTGTGAGCAATTTTATAAAATTTATTTAACTTCAGTTGTTTTACTCTGTCTTCAACATTCAGTATATCAAGTTGTTGAAATTCATCCTGGCCTACATGCTTTCTTGCACCCAATATACCTTTGATATACCTTTGAAGAGTTTTGAGTTTCTCTACTCTCTGAGCCTGGCTCATCTGATGCTTGCCTGGTCAACCAGGTTGCTGCTGGAGGCCCACTGCCCCACATACCCATCACAGCCTGGTTGATCTGGCACCTGGTGAAGATACTTATCCAGTTTCCTCTTGAAGGCTTTCAACTCCAGGATATCTCTCCATTTTGTTCTAGGCAATTCATAGTCTATCTTTCAGTTTTTTGTTAAGGCAGAGTATCATGAAGAGCAATTTATATGGCATTGTATAAGAGCTAGACACAGGGTCCTGCAAGCCTCAGTAGGTAGACGCTGTTCCCTATCAATTCTCCTGACATGCTTGGGTCAAAGGGGATTCTAAGATATTTCACCAAGGATACTGATAGGATGGGTTCCCCTTTACACATTAAAATTATTTACCCTTCTCAGTATATTTTTTGTGCCAAAGAGTATGGCTTCCATTTTCCCAAGGTGTAATGATAATGTTGTTTACTAACCAAGTCTTTGCTTTGAAGCAGAAAAGGCAAACAATAGGGTGGACTGAGAAACTATATGGCTGGTGTTATGAATGTAGTGAATGGGTGATAAGTTGCTGAACTGTAGGTTTTAACCACCATTCATTAATTCTGTAACTAAGCATATGCAAGAAATTTCTTGAAAGAACAGCAACTGGAGAATAAAAACCTTATATTTCGTATTACACTATTATATTATATTATATCATTGCTATATTATTACTATCATGATCTTTTTTTTCTATTATATTTACTAATCTGTTTTATTTTCAAAAGGTTTGTAGTGTTTTTATTAGCATTAAAAGACCATGAGGATTAATAACCCTAAAAAGCCAAGGAGTGACTTGCTTGTTGGAGCTTTTCGGATCCTTCTTCTACGATGTGGTGACCCGTGACACTTTAATGTGTAAGTGCAGAATGTATTCAGTTAGACAAATTGAAGCAGCAGGTGAAAAGAAACTTGCCTATACATACTGCCTCACCCAGGATTTGAACCTAAGTCTTTTTGGTTGTGAATCCAATAATGTACCACTGAGCTAAGGCACTCCAAACACACAGCTTTAAGAAATAATCACTGCATTAAACTCAATTATAGGCATAGAGGTGGTGATAAATTAAGTCAGAACCTGTGATAAATCAACAAAGCCATCATTTAAAAATGGATAAAAAGTATGCAAGGAATGGCAGAAGTGTGCATAAAATATGAAAATGTCTCCATAATGGATTCAAATGATACCACTTTTATTTTCAAATGACTAGCTTTATTCAGATGAGCCATACAGAAATCCATAATAAACACTTATATTTTAAATTTTATAATAAAAGTATTCTAATTTCAGAGACAGTGTAACTGCGAATAAGCACAATAAAACTAAATATAATTTAGTGAGCTTTAAAAAACAGGCTGTGCATAGTCGTAAAAATATAATCAGCTGTAAATAAAACTATCTTCGCATGTGGCAGTAGGCCTACTGTACTGAACCTTTTGTTCTTTAACCCAGAATAAGTCGACGGAAAGCTAACTTGCTGACAAATATGCACGTGACCTAAATCTAGCTAGCTAAAGAGCTACTTACAGTGAAGGTGAGGGATAAAGGAAGCCTCATTAAAGGACCAAAGAATCTAAGAAACGCACTAAAAATGCGTCCTCACTCCCGCCCTAAAATTAGGTAGAACGAGAACGTTCTTATTTTCGTTACAAATGCTTTTGTTTCCCCCCTGAGCACTAGATCACCAAGATGCCAGCCCGTGGGTATGGAGTGTCAAGAAGGCATATGCAAAATAAAGCCCAGACTAGTATGATCTGTAAATGTCATTCAAGGACCTGGGCAGATGAGCACAAAAACATTGCCATCGTCTCCCTCGATGCTCCAGTTCTCCTCTCCTTCCTACATTACTCCCGCCATTTAAGATTTATCAGCACCGACTCGCATTCTCTACACGGCATGATGCTGGTGCTAGCGGGATGAAAAGGGTCTAGAGCATCGGGATAAGTGGCGAGACGAGGTTCAAACTTACCTCAGCACAGCACAGCACTGATGACATGCCGCCATCTTTAGGACTAACCAACCCCGTGCTGTGCCAAGGTTAACCACCATCCTCCCTCCCTCCCACCCTCCAGCCCCTCCTCATCGACCCTCACCCACAATAATACCAAAAATTAAACATCTCTCAAATTTCCTATTGGGGCCATCCAGCGTATTTATTTCCATGACACAGGTGGTGATAAAATAGGGAAGGCATAGGTACACTTGGCACCTATGTAATGGTTTGGTTCAGAGTCGCATGATGGCGCGCGCCACACTCCTCGCCATTCTGGCGCCTTATTTAAACCTCGTAGCGCCATAATCAATATTTTTTACACAAAAATGAGGTTGAGAGTTATTTTGCTTGGTAAACATAGAGGTTGGGGTCCAGTCCCTGGACCCATTATGTACCTCTGTAATCCTCTGACCACCGCCAGCAGGATGGCTACGAGATACATAAAGATAATCATCATAATAAAGATAATGAAGTAATTAACAAGTAGATTTACATAAAATATAATATTAACACTAATAACAATAATAATAATAATAAAATAATAATAATAATAATAATGTTATTATTATTATTATATAAATAATAATAATAATAATAATAATAAAATAATAATATTATTATTATATTATTATTATTATTATTTATTATTATTATTATATTATATTAATAAAAATAATAATAATGTTATTATTATATTGCAATTATTATTGTTATTATTATAATTGTTTCAATTCAATGTCCACCAATATCCCATCCTTTTCCCATATTTCTATACTTACCCATCCTTCTTACCAAAGCTCTGGTCCTAAGTTCAAGTTCAAGTTATAACTATATACAGTTTACAAAAGATATATGTAAATATATATGTAGATATATGTAAATTTAATGTTAGGTTTAAGTTTTTCATTTATTTATTTTGGCGGGCTTCTTGGGTCCTAAATTTGCTTGTAACAGATAATTGAACTATAGATATGTAGATATAAATCCATATGTACTCCTGTTAACCCTTTGGGGCCTAGTTCCTAGGCCTTTTGTGCATCCATATGCTCCTGCGCTACCGTCCAAAGGATGGTTATGGAGTGCACAATAAACTAGCCACTTCAGTGTCAAAATCTAAAGAATCTCATGTGGCGTGCTATAATACTGGGGGTTTAGATCCCCGATTTCAAATTTTTAATGCTGATATTTTTTCCTCAAAGGAAGCTCTCCTTTGATTCTAGGATGCGTAGGTTTTAATGTACCAGTTTTATTAAACAAATTGGTTTCCGTGAAATATCTTTGTACTCTAGAAGTTTGGGTAATATCAAGAGATACCCATGCGCTCTTAAGGGGACAGAAATGCAGTATTATGGAATTCTTTGCTGGCTACATTTCACCCACGGAATGCGCTTTGGGACCGGGTGAAACATATTTGTGTTACCGTACCACATTTGGAAAGCATCACCAGCACTTATCGTATATTCAGACAATCTTGCACACACACATCTTACTGGCAGTCTCACCTTGCACTCTTACAGACAGACATCTTACTGGCAATCTTAAAGGCAATTATCTTACTGGTAGTCTTACACGCATTTTACTGGCAGTCTTTCAAATATCTTCGTGGCAGTCTTACAGACAGACAGTACTGATCTCATACAGGTTGTCAATAGTGTCGTGGTACCAACAAGGTGTGTATAAAGTTGCTTTTGTACATTTAAGGAAACTTTTTGCTCCGAATAACTTTTTGAGCCTCATGAAGGAAATGGAGGATTGAAGAAGCCATTCTTGGGGGTAGATTCCTGATACAAGGAATTTGGACATGTCCTCCTTTTAATTTGATGGAATCTGATTATCTTAACCCCAATGGTTTTACAGTCCTTCCCCATGAATGTAATGACTTTCCTAATCATTATGTATATCCTTGCAGGTACATTATGACTCTCTCACATATACTCTCGTCATTGCTGGTCCCATACCTGGAGTTTACCTGGAGAGAGTTCCGGGGGTCAACGCCCCCGCGGCCCGGTCTGTGACCAGGCCTCCTGGTGGATCAGAGCCTGATCAACCAGGCTGTTGCTGCTGGCTGCACGCAAACCAACGTACGAGCCACAGCCCGGCTGGTCAGGAACCGACTTTAGGTGCTTGTCCAGTGCCAGCTTGAAGACTGCCAGGGGTCTATTGGTAATCCCCCTTATGTATGCTGGGAGGCAGTTGAACAGTCTCGGGCCCCTGACACTTATTGTATGGTCTCTTAACGTGCTAGTGACACCCCTGCTTTTCATTGGGGGGATGTTGCATCGTCTGCCAAGTCTTTTGCTTTCGTAGTGAGTGATTTTCGTGTGCAAGTTCGGTACTAGTTCCTCTAGGATTTTCCAGGTGTATATAATCATGTATCTCTCCCGCCTGCGTTCCAGGGAATACAGGTTTAGGAACCTCAAGCGCTCCCAGTAATTGAGGTGTTTTATCTCCGTTATGCGCGCCGTGAAGGTTCTCTGTACATTTTCTAGGTCAGCAATTTCACCTGCCTTGAAAGGTGCTGTTAGTGTGCAGCAATATTCCAGCCTGGATAGAACAAGTGACCTGAAGAGTGTCATCATGGGCTTGGCCTCCCTAGTTTTGAAGGTTCTCATTATCCATCCTGTCATTTTTCTAGCAGATGCGATTGATACAATGTTATGGTCCTTGAAGGTGAGATCCTCCGACTTGATCACTCCCAGGTCTTTGACGTTGGTGTTTCGCTCTATTTTGTGGCCAGAATTTGTTTTGCACTCTGATGAAGATTTAATTTCCTCGTGTTTACCATACCTGGAGTTTACCTGGAGAGAGTTCCGGGGGTCAACGCCCCCGCGGCCCGGTCTGTGACCAGGCCTCCTGGTGGATCAGAGCCTGATCAACCAGGCTGTTGCTGCTGGCTGCACGCAAACCAACGTATGAGCCACAGCCTGGCTGGTCAGGAACCGACTTTAGGTGCTTGTCCAGTGCCAGCTTGAAGACTGCCAGGGGTCTGTTGGTAATCCCCCTTATGTATGCTGGGAGGCAGTTGAACAGTCTCGGGCCCCTGACAACTATTTTTAATGGTCTCTTAACGTGCTAGTGACACCCCTGCTTTTCATTGGGGGGATTTTGCATCGTCTGCCAAGTCTTTTGCTTTCGTAGTGAGTGATTTTCGTCTGCAAGTTCGGTACTAGTCCCTCTAGGATTTTCCAGGTGTATATAATCATGTATCTCTCCCGCCTGCGTTCCAGGGAATACAGGTCAGGAACCTCAAGCGCTCCCAGAAATTTGAGGTTTTTTTATCTCCATTATGCGCGCCGTGAGGTTCTCTGTACATTTTCTAGGTCAGCAATTTACACTGCCTTGAAAGGTGCTTTTTAGTGTGCAGCAATACCAGCCTAGATAGAACAAGTGACCTGAAGAGTGTCATCATGGGCTTGGCCTCCCTAGTTTTGAAGGTTCTCATTATCCACCTGTCATTTTTCTAGCAAAATGCGATTGATACAATGTTATGGTCCTTGAAGGTGAGATCCTCCGACATGATCCCCTCCAGGTCTTTGACGTTGGTGTTTCGCTCTATTTGTGGCCAGAATTTGTTTTGTACTCTGATGAAGATTTAATTTTCCTCGTGTTTACTATATCTGATAATTGAAATTTCTCATCTTTGAACTTCATATTGTTTTCTGCAGCCACCGAAAAAATTCGGTTTGATGTCCGCCTGGAGCCTTGCAGTGTCTGCAATGGAAGACACTGTCATGCAGATTCGGGTGTCATCTGCAAAGGAAGACAGGGCCTGTGGCTGATCCTTGTCTATGTCGGATATGAGGATGAGGAACAGATGGGAGCGAGTACTGTGCCTGTGAACAGACTTTTAAACCGTAGCGGCCTCGGACTTTTACTCTGTTGACGACTACTCTCTGTGTTCTGTTAGTGGGGGAAATTATAGATCCATTGACCGACTTTTCCTGTTATTCCTTTAGCACGCATTTTGTGCGCTATTACCCATGGTCACACTTGTCGAAGCTTTGCAAAGTCTGTATAATACATCTGCATTCTTTTTATCTTCTAGTGCATTTAGGACCTTGTCGTAGTGATCCAATAGTTGAGACAGACAGGAGCGACCTGTTCTAAACCCATGTTGCCCTGGGTTGTGTAACTGATGGGTTTCTAGATGGGTGGTGATCTTGCTTCTTAGGACCCTTTCAAAGATTTTTATGATATGGGATGTTAGTGTTATCGGTCTGTAGTTCTTTGCTGTTGCTTTACTGCCCCCTTTGTGGAGTGGGGCTATGTCTGTTGTTTTTAGTAACTGTGGGACGACCCCCGTGTCCATGCTCCCTCTCCATAGGATGGAAAAGGCTCGTGATAGGGGCTTCTTGCAGTTCTTGATGAACACGGAGTTCCATGAGTCTGGCCCTGGGGCAGAGTGCATGGGCATGTCATTTATCGCCTGTTCGAAGTCATTTGGCGTCAGGATAACATCGGATAGGCTTTTGTTAACCAAATTTTGTGGCTCTCTCATAAAAAATTCATTTTGATCTTCGACTCTCAGTCTGGTTAGCGGCTTGCTAAAAACTGAGTCATATTGGGACTTGAGTAGCTCACTCATTTCCTTGCTGTCATCTGTGTAGGACCCATCTTGTTTAAGTAGGGGCCCAATACTGGATGTTGTTCTCGACTTTGATTTGGCATAGAAGAAATACTTTGGGTTTCTTTCGATTTCGTTTATGGCTTTTAGTTCTTCCCACGATTCCTGACTCCTATAAGATTACTTTAGCTTGAGTTCGATGCTTGCTATTTCTCTGACCAGTGTCTCCCTACACATTTCAGATATATTGACCTCTTTTAGCCGCTCTGTTATTCTTTTCCGTCGCCTGTAAAGGGAGCGCCTGTCTCTTTCTATTTTACATCTACTCCTCCTTTTTCTTAGAGGAATAAGCCTTGTGCATACATCGAGTGCCACCAAGTTAATCTGTTCTAGGCATACGTTGGGGTCTGTGTTGCTTAGTATATCTTCCCAGCTTATATCGGTTAGGACTTGGTTTACTTGGTCCCACTTTATGTTTTTGTTATTGAAGTTGAATTTGGTGAATGCTCCCTCGTGACTAGTCTCATTATGTCGGTCTGGGGCTCCACGCATACATGTCTGAACCTCAATTATGTTGTGATCTGAGTATATTGTTTTTGATATGGTGACATTTCTTATCAGATCATCATTGTTAGTGAAGATGAGGTCTAGTGTATTCTCCAGTCTAGTAGGCTCTATTATTTGCTGGTTTAAACTGAATTTTGTGCAGAGATTTAAAAGCTCGTGTGAGTGTGACTTTTCATCAGAGCTGCCTCCTGGTGCTATTACTGCAACAATATTATTTGCTATATTCCTCCATTTTAGGTGCCTTAAGTTGAAATCCCCCAGGAGCAAGATGTTGGGTGCAGGAGCTGGAAGATTTTCCAGACAGTGGTCAATTTTTAACAGCTGTTCCTGGAATTGCTGGGATGTTGCATCCAGAGGCTTGTAGACTACCACAATGACTAGGTTTTGGTTCTCGACCTTTACTGCTAAAACTTCCACTACATCATTTGAGGCATTTAGCAGTTCTGTGCAAACAAGTGACTCTGCAATGTACAGGCCAACCCCCCCTTCCTTTTGCCTGTTCACTCTGTCACATCTGTATAGGTTGTAACCTGGGATCCATATTTCGTTGTCCAAGTGATCCTTTATGTGGGTCTCAGTGAAAGCCGCGAACATTGCCTTTGCCTCTGCAAGCAGTCCACGGATGAAAGGTATTTTGTTGTTTGTTGCTGGCTTTAGACCCTGTATATTTGCAAAGAAGAATGTCATCGGACTGGTGGTATTGTTGGTACTGGGGGGGGATTTTTTTCCGGCATTAGTATCTGTATCTGTTGGTTTGGAGTGGAGGCCATCGACTGTGGTTCCACTCCAGGAATGACTGGATTTGGTGTACGATTTCTGCCATTTCCTGCCAGTTTTTTTTCCTTCCTGGCACTAAAAAACCTCTCCCTCTTGAGTGGCTGTGGCTACCTAGGTTTTCCCATGGCCTGGATATTTTGTATCTTTTTGTACCCTTTAGATGGTGTGCCTGGCAATTTAAATTATAGCACAGTCTTTCCTGTACTGAAGAGGTACACATTTCAGGGTGAAAAAGCTTACAGGAAGGGAGTTTGCATTTTCCTGTTGTCATATGGGCATGGCATTTTCTAGGGTGGTCATAGTTGCACGTCCCGTCTGTTTTTCCAGATTTCCCATGTCTGCAGATACCAAGTGGATATTATGTGCACACTCTTGGTTTCCGTTTGCCTTGGGTTTCTGTGGCTGTATTCCCTGTTGGTGCATGTTTCCCTGTCTTATTCCTATCCTCCTTAGCACTAACAATGGAGCTCCCACCAGTTGTTTTTGGTAATATATCCTCACTATAGCTAGTGGAGTCCTCTTGTTTGCTATTTCCTGTTGTATTTCTAGTTTGCAATATTGGTTTTATCTTATCTTTGACTACACTTGTTTCCCCACTACGGCTCCTGTCCCCTATGAGGTCCTTTATATGTATTCCTTCCTGCGTATAATTCCCGACTACCTGGACAAAATTTCCAGCTTCACCATTACTGTCTCCCAGGACAGCACCTCCAGCTTCACCATTACTGTCTCCCAGGACAGCACCTCCAGCTTCACCATTACTGTCTCCCAGGACAGCACCTCCAGCTTCAACATTACTGTCTCCCAGGACAGCACCTCCAGCTTCACCATTACTGTCTCCCAGGACAGCACTATCAGCCCCACATTTACTGACTACCAGGACATCACCTCCAGCCTTACAGTTTCTGACGACATGGCCAGTATCAAGGGCAGTACCATTCAGCCCAGACTTTTTATGTTCCCATCTGTTGTAGAAAGCTTCCAGGTTGTCTATGAAAGCAGCTTTGATGTTATCCTCTTTTAATACCCTTGTGATTTTAGTCCACAGATTTTCCTCATTTGGGCATACCCAAAAACACTGAGTAATTGAAATTTTTCATCGTTGAACTTCATATTGTTTTCTGCAGCCCACTGAAAGATTTGGTTGATGTCCGCCTGGAGCCTTACAGTGTCTGCAATGGAAGACACTGTCATGCAGATTCGGGTGTCATCTGCAAAGGAAAACACGGTGCTGTGGCTGACATCCTTGTCTATGTCGGATATGAGGATGAGGAACAAGATGGGAGCGAGTACTGTGCCTTGTGGAACAGAGCTTTTCACCGTAGCTGCCTCGGACTTTACTCTGTTGACGACTACTCTCTGTGTTCTGTTAGTGAGGAAATTATAGATCCATCGACCGACTTTTCCTGTTATTCCTTTAGCATGCATTTTGTGCGCTATTACGCCATGGTCACACTTGTCGAAGGCTTTTGCAAAGTCTGTATATATTACATCTGCATTCTTTTTGTCTTCTAGTGCATTTAGGACCTTGTCGTAGTGATCCAATAGTTGAGACAGACAGGAGCGACCTGTTCTAAACCCAAGTTGCCCTGGGTTGTGTAATTGATGGGTTTCTAGATGGGTGGTGATCTTGCTTCTTAGGACCCTTTCAAAGATTTTTATGATATGGGATGTTAGTGCTATTGGTCTGTAGTTCTTTGCTGTTGCTTTACTGCCCCCTTTGTGGAGTGGGGCTATGTCTGTTGTTTTTAGTAACTGTGGGACGACCCCCGTGTCCATGCTCCCTCTCCATGGGATGGAAAAGGCTCGTGATAGGGGCTTCTTGCAGTTCTTGATGAACACGGAGTTCCATGAGTCTGGCCCTGGGGCAGAGTACATGGGTATGTCATTTATCGCCTGTTCGAAGTCATTTGGCGTCAGGATAACATCGGATAGGCTTGTGTTAATCAAATTTTGTGGCTCTCTCATAAAAAAATTCATTTTGATCTTCGACTCTCAGTCTGGTTAGCGGCTTGCTAAAAACTGAGTCATATTGGGACTTGAGTAGCTCACTCATTTCCTTGCTGTCATCTGTGTAGGACCCATCTTGTTTAAGATCCATATTAAACGCTAATCTTCCAAAATTACGCTTCTTACGGACTAGGATGCGTGCAAAATATGCTGAATCGTCTCATTTTTTAGCCCCATAAAGATGTTAATCCTCAGTACACGATGATAATGTTAGTGACACAAAAACAAATTTTTTTATTTTTATTTTGTATTAACAACAATTGATAGTCTACATTGCGTAGCTACATACCATTTAAGACTCAAGGCCAGAAATAATTAAGTTTACCTAACACTCATCATTCAAGAGAGGTTTTCTTATACTCTATCATGTAGAATGAGTTTCATGGCACACTCCATCACACAATATTTTTTTCTCTCATTGGATGATTTTCCTGTCTTACGTCACTGCACAGGATGATTTTCCTGTCATACTTCATCACACAAAATGGTTTTCCTGTCATACTTAATCACACAGGATATATTTTTTGTCATACTTAATCACATGGGTTGGGCTTCATGTAATACTCCGTTGTACAGAATGGTTTTCCTGTCATATTTCATCACATGATGTTTTCTGTTTCCTGTCATACTCCATCACACACAGTGATCATATATGATAATTTTCCCTACCATACTCCATCCCACAATTATTTTCCTGTCATATTCCATCACAGTATCTGTATCTATGTTCATGATAACATGAATGTAGATAAGAATATTTACGAAGCAACTTGCAATGTAAACAGACTGATTTAGTAACCAGATTTAGGCTTGGTTACGGGTACCCGAAGCAACTTGCAATGTAAACAGACTGATTTAGTAACCAGATTTAGGCTTGGTTACGGGTACCTTTGGCAATTTGGCACACGGACAGATAATTAAACTAAATACACAGTATATGGTCAGCCTGGTGGCCAATTTCTTGAACAGTGTGCTTAATTAACTGTTCACTTATTGGGAATATAGATATACATACAGAACAATAACACATGTGATAAGTCAAGGTATCTAATTAGTGAAAATATGATATCCGACATATAAGACAAACTGTACATAAAGACAGAAAGATAAAACAAATTGTAGATACAAATCCAGATGTACTCCTGCTAACCCTGAATCCCATGGTTAGTTTTCGTTTAGTTCGCCATCACAGAGAATTGTTGTTTAAACACTTTAATGAAATACGTAAGCCTGCGCTGGGAGACTTCACTAGTAAGTTTATTCAGGTATACACAAACACAGTTACATAGAATTATCATACATAACAGCATATGTGTAGAGAACCTAGGATAACCCCCCCCCCCCCAAAAAAAAAAAAAAAGTCAGTGACTTATTTCCATTGGGCTGCTAGAATATCGTCAAGTATTTCACTATGGGTCCAGTAACAACGGCAGCTTGAGAATGTCTATTGAGCTGTACTCTGGCGGAAACTCTTGGTGGTTCAAAGCTATGGTTGTAAATTGTCGATAATCCATTGCACGTAGTAGTGAACATTGGTGTATATACCTTGAGTGTTGGTGATACCACACTCACTAGGGCCATGGCTGGTGATGCCTACAACAAAATGTTTGGTGTTCCCTTTGTTAGTGAGGGTGAGAGGTCCTCCTGCAAGATTAAGATTGGTTTATTAGGTTTGAAGCGCTGTCTCCTACATGAGGGCCATTAAAACTACATATCACCTATACACCAGGAGTCAAGGATACTGTGAGAAGCACACCTCACGGTATGTACCCTGCAAACTTAACATATACATAACCTGTAAGTAAAATTGTAGCAACAGCCGACGAATAGTGATAAAAAGATTCAAGAAAACAGAAGAACCTTTATTACTAGGGGCACACGATGTTTCGTACACGTGGGCGAAACGTCGTGTACCTCTACTGATAAAGATTCTATTTTCGATAATTACTTCTGAAATTTTCTTTCAGTGATCTAAACTGTTAAGAAATGACAGTTATACTTAAGACAGCAATACTGGGCAAGCATATCTTATAAGCAACAATATGAATGACACTGTCATAGATAAAGTGCTGCAGCTATAATTATAATTATATATAATTAACCACTATGATTATATATAATTAACCACTATAATTATATATAATTAACCACTATGATCTTAGGTCTTCAACCTATCAAATTCTCTACTGATCTAGACATCAAGCCTAGCTATTAGACTTCCTATTAACCATGGTCTCCAGCCCAGAGCTATAATCTAGCTATCTGGGACATTTGAAGAGCCCGTCAACATGGACTCTTAAGTGTGGTAGTGACGCACCTGAGTCTCCGGAACAGGTATCCTTGCCCTCTCCGCCAGCACAGAGAACCATGCGAGGATCGGGATAGCTACTCCTCATAATTTCGCATGACTCTGAGTTGGTGATGGGCAGCTGCACTTGCTGGAGGGTGTCCAGTCTGATGAAAACTGACGAATCTGAAAGGAACGCTTGGTTTTCATTGACAATTTCTGGTTCAGGAGTGAACTGTAGGCAAGAATGAAGTATTTTGCGTCTAAACATATATAGTATGTGGAAACTAAGGTTTCACACTCTCGTGAACGTTACTGATTGCTTCTGACACGTACTGCTTACTCTGAAAACACCCACCAGTGTGACAAAAAAAAAATAAAATAAACAAAAAGTACTGAACAGTACATATATGCATAACCAAGACAGTCAAGCAAGAGTGCATCTTTTGTGTGATAGATATAGTTATGTGAATTAAAATGTTATATTTTAGTTCTGAGCCTCACAGTGCTACGCAATAGCATCTATTTAAGAACATTTGATAAATGAAAAGTAATTAAATGCTTTGTGAGTATCACGAATTTAGCCATTACTATCCCTTCCTCCCCCTCACTTTCAGTTCTGTCTCGCTCACCATCACCCTCATCCCTGTCTCACACTCACCCCTGTCTCCCTCGCCCTCACTCTCACTTGTTTCTCACTCTCACCTCTCTCTCTCTAACCCTCGTCTCTCTCACCACTTCTCCCTCACCCTCTTTCTTTTTCACCTTCACTTCAGTCTCTCTTATTCACACTTACCTCTAGAAATGGAGCCCCAGCCAGCTGCCCAGGCATGCTTGTCCAAGAACTCATCCTCTGTGATACCCATCTGTTGCTTCAGGTCGACAGGCAGGCAGATTGGAACTACATGGACTGCAACAACACATGAACATACGGTGAAGGAGGAGAAACCTAACTCTCGGATAAAAAAAAAAAAACTAAGCTCTCAGGAAGGGAGGAAGTAAGGCCCAAGATGTCCACCACATTTATAAGCAATAAAACTCAAAGAATCAAAATTATGGTACCGTGACTGGAAGAAGTCACAAACAACCCACACGTAGGAAAAGACTCCAATGTTCGGGTCCATCCTGGACCAGATATCAAGTCTCATCTGTGAGACTTCTAAAGAACTGGGTTAATTAATTCGCTTAATAACTTTAATATGCACCTCGTACTCATCATGTGGGTAGTAGGCAGAAGATTAAAAAGGTACATAATGGGTTCATGGACTGTGGCCCAGTGTTATGAAAACTAATTAAATTGCAGTGATAATGAACTGACTACACGTTTATAACCTGGTAAGGATCACAGACTTGTTTACGCAGACATAAAATAGTTAACTGTGACAATAAAACTTTAATACTGACTTGGGTTGAGGACAGCAGGCCGGGAGAGTCTCAAGAGGGCAATGTCATTACACTTGTTACAAGGCTTCTTGTAGTCTGGGTGTGAGATTATTCTCTCTACGAGGATATCTTGTGGGGCCGGTGCACACACACCTTTCTCACAGTCTGGGTTGATGTTGAGTGTGTGCTCTCCTACCCTCACACTCTCTCTGCCAAACAAGAATTATGACCAATATAAGGACGAGAAGTCCACATGGTGGTGTAAAAGATATGCACATTTATTTATTTACTGCAAAGCACTTAAACCGTGTGAGTCACAGCGCAAGGAATGGTGGAGGCTCGATCCTTCGTCCGTTGTCTCAATAAAAGATTTTAATGTATATATAAGTAAGTAAGTAGTTTATTCAGGTATACACAAATACAGTTACATAAAATTATCATACATAGCAGCATATGGTATCAGAACTATGCAGTTATAACAGTGTGGCAGAAGTTAGGTAACTCGTAAGTCTCGTAATTAGTGGATTGAGGATATAGCCTTCACTGTTGAATAACCCTCAAGGGTCTAGCGCTTTACATAATGAAATGTGGCAATAATTTGTTATAAAAATTCAATAATATATATATATATATATATATATATATATATATATATATATATATATATATATGTGTGGTTGTGTGTGTGTGTGTGTGTGTGGTGTGTGTGTGTGTGTGTGTGTGTGTGTGTGTGTGTGTGTGTGTGTGTGTGTGTGTGTGTGTGTGTGTGTGTGATTGAAAAGTGCTTCCTAAATTTAGTGTATATCATTTTAACTGTAGCATAGTTAGGTTGATAACTTTTTATGCACTCCATACCCATCCTGCCAACTGTGGCATGGTCACTTACAGTGTAGTAGTAGTATCGTTGCAGTGAGCAGCTGTCAGCACATATCGTTCAGAGATGAGCACTCCCCCACACGTCCAGGTCAACACTCCCCGGGCTGTACAAACATTAAAGTTTTAATGCACGTAGCTCTGTAACCCATATTAGTTTAGCACTTGTTTATGAATAGAACAATAATGATTGGACTCATCTTTTCTCCCTTTCAGAACCACCTCCCCTTCTTTACCAAAAATAACGATGAAATTGCTTTCGTATTTTTGCTTACTGAGACCTGCTATCCTGCCTCAACTCATTTATAGGCTATGAGGTTTTATCCTGCCTCAGCTCATTTACAGGCTATGAGCTGTTACCCTGCCTCAGCTCATTTACAGGCTATGAGCTGTTATCCTGCCTCAGCTCATTTCCAGATTATGAGGTTTTATCCTGCCTCAGCTCATTTACAGGCTATGAGCTGTTATCCTCCCTCAGCTCATTTCAAAGCCCATTCCTATTCAAGATACTACAAACCTTCCCCAGGATGCCACCCCACAACATTCGACTAACATTCGTAACTGCTTGCCACTAGGTGAGCTGATGTAGCGGTCTTCAGGAGACTTGCCCACACTGTTAATTAAGCTCCGTCCGGGAATCGAACCCGGGTTCATTGGATGTTGTGAGCCGAACGTCGTCTGAAATGAACTAAACAAAAAAAAAAGTGTTGAAAGACTGGATATATATAGTTACTTCGTCCACGTAGTAGGACCATCCATGGCCAGGCGAGGAGGCTGGCGTCCTCTCCGTCAATGATTTGTTGCGTGAGGAGAGAGATGCCGCAGCGGGAAGGTAGTAGTGAGCGGCCAGTAATTTGACTGATAGCTGTTGAAGAATTGACAGGACAACACACCAGTGGAATACTGCCTTCATAGCCACAAAAAGAGCTGGTGGAGATAACACAAGCCAAATTTAAAATGCAAAGCCAGCATGATCACAATACTGTGGAAAAATTCACAACTAATTAATTCTCAAAGTGAAGTTTAGAACTGGACGGTTCAAAACGTTGTCTGGTTTTCATTATTCCAGTTTGCACATAAATTATTTTGTGAGTGTACACGCATGCCAGCACACACCACTAACAGCGGGCAATTCACAATTTATTAAACGTGTAAATTTTCTTTTCGATATGATCTTGGAATCTGCCATGTGGGCTGGTGATAAATTACTCTCCCTCTCTCTCTCTCTCTCTCTCTCTCTCTCTCTCTCTCTCTCTCTCTCTCTCTCTCTCTCTCTCTCTCTCTCTCCAGCAAAAAAAAAAAAAAAAAAAAAATGCAGGGTCGCGTATAAGTATTAATTTTTTTTTTTTCGAGTATGTGAAATATGTTTGCATCAGACAAGACTAGGCACCCCACAACACATTACCCACAATACGTTACCCCCGGTGGTCAAGTAACTTATTAAATCCAACTTCCTCTTCAGAAACATTTGTTTCACAGTAATGTAACTAAAACAATCTGCAACATACACTGTGTTGCCTGAATCAGTTAAGAGAATGCAACTCGGTTTGAGTCGATTTGCTTGAGATTTTCAAAATTTCCAAAGAACTGCTAAATTTCAGGTAAGAAAATTGTCAATTAGTCACCGTATATATAAAAGTAATAAATACAGAAACTAACCAAAAATATACTCATTTTAAAGTTCTTTATCCGGAAAGACAATTTCGCTAAAAAAAATTAATCCTGGTATTATTTTTTTCGTTTTCTCCATCCTAAAATGAATTCATGCTCAACGGGCTTATATATATATATATATATATATATATATATATATATATATATATATATATATATATATATATATAATATAATATTTGTTTACACACACTGAAAGCTATTTATTTTCTATATTTCCTTCGTTACTTTACAGTTACTGTTCTGGGACTTACATCCTTAATGACCCATATGCAGTCGATAGATTTTAAACCTCACAAGCTAACTAGACTTACCTGATCAACGTCTGGCTTCCATTTTTAGGTGGATTTCTAGAACGCAACTGACGTAGGAGAGACAATAGTGGGGGACAGGTTGTGATAGGTCCGCACATCCCCTGCTGGCCCTTGTTTTGAATACAACCTGCAACATATAAACCTACTCACCATTCAAAACATCCATACTTATTACTACACCTACTACTTTCATAGAACACTTAATTCTGATATAAACCCTCCCCTCAAACGTCTCCTTACCAACCTCAACAGAACACATGACCATAACACAAGGCACAGATCACTCTTTGATGTTCCTCGAGTCCATCTCACGCTATGCAAAAACTCAATGCACATAAAAGGCCCTAAAACCTGGAATTCATTACCTGTGAATATAAAAGAAACACTGTTTATAAATTCAAGTCTCTTCTCAAAAATCACTTACCCACAACTAAATAAATACTGAATAATTGTATCTCATAAATTGTATCTCGTAAATGTTTCTCATTATTGTATCTCACAAATGTCTTGCCTGTGACCCAATCAAACTTTATTTTTTAATTACATTACCTAACAGAATACTCCAATCTACTGAATGCTCAACAACACAGTAAATGACCATATGACCTGTGTTTGTAATACTCATTTGTGCTAAATTGTTATGTTTACAATAATGTTTACCACTGAATATATCATTGCTTAGTTAATCTTAAGTTAATTTTAAGCCTGCTCATAATGCTCTGCATACAAGGGGCTTTGGCATGCTGCACTGTAATAGCTTTGTACTTCACTGTATCATGTTCAAATTAATAATAAATAAATAAATAAATAAATGAGTTTTGGTCGCTGCGCGAGCCCAGAAAGATATCAGTATCCCATAAGCCCAGCCAGCTTCTTCTTCCGTCTATAAACATTATAATAAACCATTAGTGAGATATTCTTTTCTAAAACTCATTTTTTATTGCTAAATTTAGTTTTTTCTCCCATCACACACAGACTCACGCTCTTCACTTTTACTTTACATATTTTAGCTGAACATTCCTTCAGCGGGGGACTCCCGCATGCTACTAGTTGTTCCATTAAGAAGTCTGATGAAACCGGCATACGTACTGAGCATACCGACTAGTGAGAAACTCAGACTGGTTTCCTTGCATTTTTTGTCACCATCCCTTCACCCAAGTGCTTGGAAACATGGCTTCTTAGGAAAATCCCATGTTCAATGCTATGACCTTAAAACCTTGAAGGGATACTGCTTCCAAACATCTGATTTTATTTGTTCCTTAACGATGATTGGTGGTCTGTCTAGGTCAACAGGTACACAAATAACCCGCACATAAAAGAGAGAAGCTTTTATGTGCGGGTTATTTGTGTATCGTTCCAGTCAATGTTCTTTGTCAATGGTCCAAGTCGGACCGAAACGTCGTCGTAAGCTTCTCTCTTTTATGTGCGGGTTATTTGTGTATCGTTCCAGTCACGGTATTATGCCTTTTTTGTTATTTAGGTCAACAGGTCACAGTAACTGTAGGTCTAGATGAGTTCCTTTGACAGTGTAGCTGAACTATAATGAATTCGTATCATTTCACTTTATAAATTCGATTTTAAAGGTTTCAGAAACAGATTTATTTTTTTAAACCTAATAATCAGTTATTGTTGGAAAGCGAGACGAGAAACTAATTTCCATCTATGAAAAATATAAATGACAAGTGGAACGACAAATTTGCTTTCAATGTATATGGATAGCAGACTTGTTTAGTCATTATATCAAAGATAGATGTAGTCACGATTTTCTATGGAGCTCTTAGGATTAGTAGCTCATTTTAGATGATGAGTTGAAAATCATTATGCATTAATTTACATTAACATAACCCAGACCTTTCTTGATCGACTGTAGGATGTGAATGGAGAATAGTTATATAACACTACTTGAGAATGCGTCAAAAACGGATTTCTTTTAGATGTGAGAAATCCTCATACCAAGTATTATTTACTGATTCCTTTATTTCCTCCCTGATGTCTCTCTGTTTAGTGTAGTCCTTGACCCTGCTGCATTTAGTCTCACTGAACACGGACATGTTATAGCTTGTAGGGATATAACACAAGGCAAGAAGAGGTTGATATCATTATAAGAAAAGTCTTATCATAGCCCGCTGCTCAACACAGAGGGAGCACCAACTATGAGTTCAGATCCGAAGACATCCAGAAAAGTTCGAATGGATTCACCAGTATCATAAAATATGGTACTACTACATATGCACATCTACAGTGAACAATAATTTTATCCATCATAGTGAATGGACCCTGGTCCTTCAGCGTGCAGTACTTTCATGTACGTCAAACCTAGGTATGGTCCCCACAGCAAGACACTCATTTCACACTTATACAATACTTCCTGTAACTCGCACGTATTGACAGGACAATCCAGTATCCTGTACCACGTAATGCCTGTGCATTCATAAATTTCAGAATATGAATATAAACAAATACCTTAGACTATTGTGTTTCTTGAGCAATGTAGTGTGGCGTGGCCTAGTTGTGCTTCAAACAATCCCACAGTTTTTTATATGAAAGTAGTTTCAATATTTAAGTATCTATTAATTGTTTGATAGTGTATCATTTTCATCCAGGAGCCTGCCGGGTTCGAGACCTACATCTACATTATATTAACGGGGAAATGCTAAATTCGTAGGAGTCACACCTCATGGAAAATGAATGAGAGGCAATTAGGTTCTATCTCCAATTCCTTGAATTAAGAGCCCTTCATCAACATCAAGGCACCCTTCTTGAAATGTCGAGACCTGTTCTTTATCACTTACGGGTTCCTGACTGTGCGTCGACTGACGCCATCACCATCACTTGTACTATCACCATCACCATCACCTGGGGTCGCGTCATCGTAGTACCTACGAAGATAACATAAGAACATAGTTAAAAAAATGCAGAACACCCAACAATTAACACTCTCAGGAAAAATGCTTCATTGTCGTGCTTTTAAGGCAGAGTGTGCGACCTTTGCTTCTAAAGCAACGATCGTGTCTCCAAGCAAGCCGAGTGTAAACTCAGTGCTACAAAAACTCCGCACTAAGCAGTCTAGCATTACGAAATGAGGAAACACGTTACAGTATTTCAGTTTCTTAGAACTGTTGGGAACGGCTGTAACACCAACTATTGTACTAACTAAACCAAACGAGCCGAAACTCCAGCCTGTTGATACAGCTAACAAATTGAATGACTTCTCAGCCACAGGATCAAATCTCGCCAGTAAAATTCCAATTACCAATGCCCGTGCTAATGATTATTTAGATGGAAACTTCCCAGCATCCCTCTATCTTACACCAACAGATCTCACTGAGGTTACCATGATTATAATTATTAACTTTCTAAGAAACAAATCAGGAAATGTAACCCAAGTACCACCACTACTGTACAAAAGAGCGAATCAAATCCTTTCACCCATCATTGCATTACTCTTCAACAAATCAATAGAAACCAACACTTTTCCGGCATCACTTAAAATAGCATGGATTACACCAATACACAAAGGCAGTGACCCAACAGATGTAAACTATTATAGGTCAATATCAAACTTGCATTTACTTTCCAAAGTCTTCGAGAAGCTCATACACAAAAGGTTATACTCCTTCATAACATCACAAAGCATCCTTAACCCCTGTCAGTTTGGCTTCAGGAGAAACAAAAGCACAAATGATGCAATAATAAAAATGCTAGACTTACTTTACACAGCACTGGAAAAAACGGATACCCACTTGGAACTTAAGAAAGCTTTTGATACAATAGATCACAGCATCCTACTCCTTAAGCTTGATCACTAAGGTATAAGAGGCCATGCACTTGTATTCATCAAGTCCAACCTTACTAATAGAAAGCAATACGTTTCTGTCAAGGACACAACCTCCTCAACAAGACCCCTGGACACTGGTGTACCACAGGGAAGAGTTCTTGGCCTCCATCCTTTTCCTTTTATACATCAACGATCTCCCAAGCATATCTCTTATCTTATCTTATCTTATCACAACAAGTTACGACTATTCTCTTTGCTTACGACACGACTTCTGTCATCTCCCACTCAAATCACTCAACACTGTTGTTAACGAAGAGCTCGCAAAAAATAGCAACCTGGAAGACTGTCAACAAACTTACACTTAATGTAGACAAAACCTTTCACATTATGTTTGGGAGTAGAGCAAGTGAGGTCCAACTAAACATTAAGCTTAACAACATCCTTATTGTTAAACATAATGAGGGAAAATTCCTGGGTCTGCACCTTGACATCAACCTGAAATTCAACACCCATATCCAACACAAAACAAAAACGTCTTTAAAACAGTTGGCATCCTCTCAAAGATATGTTACTATGTACCACAAACAGCACTGCTTACACTATACTATTCACTGTCGTTGTGCCTGGGGTTCCACAACGACAAATCTAAAACCAATAATAACCCAACAAAAATCTGCAGTGCGAATGATCAACAGCACCCCCCCCCCTACTCTTGAAAGACCTAAACCTACTCATTATACAAAACATTCACTCATACTATTGTGCAACCTACATTTACAGAACAATCAATTCTAACATAAATCCTGACCTGAAGTGCTTTCTTGACAGTTGCAATAGGACTCATAAACACAACACTAGGCACAAAAAAACCTCTATGACATTCCCAGTGTCAGGCTAAATCTTTTCAAAAACTCAATGTACATATAATGGCCCAAAATTTGGAACTCTGCCAGAAATCTCTAGAACCACTGGCTTAGCTAGCATTTTTAAAACTACAGTTAAAAAAACACCTTATTCCCTAACCTATCCCAGTCCTTCATAAATACATTTGTAAAACTATACATACATTTGCTCAATGTCATGAACATAGGTAAAACTTTATAATCAATATATACTTACTCTCAATGTCTGTATTCACCTCAAATGTTAATCACTCGACTCACGAAATCGTAATGACACGATTGCAAACAAACTCTCTGATCGCGGGTTCTATCCCCACCCGTGGTATGGTTAATCACTCCATTGTGTCCACCTAAAGTTATTAATCAAAATTGTAATTTTTCTTATCAAAGCCATACAGCATGACCTGACAGAATATACAGTTCTCTTGTATTCATTGTTACTCAATGACCATAAGTACTGTTATTGCCTTATTAATTTTAAGTTAGTTTTAAAGTTTGCCCGAAATGCTTTGCATATAAAGGGGCTTTTGGCATGTACACCCAAGTATTATATTCCTTTGCACAAACATGTTTCATGCTGAAATAAATTATTATTATTATTATTATTATTATTATTATTATTATTATTAGTAATTAATTATTACTCATTGTTTGGCAAGAAGAAACTCGCTTAAAATCCACCCACAGTGATAACGCAACTTAATCTTTCTTACTTATCTTTTCCTGTTTACCTACACCCTTTTCGCTGCTACATCCTACGCCAGTCCTTCCTCTCCCCACTCCAGTCATGCCTATTTCTTAAATAAATGATAAAGATAAAGGTATCCATACTTAGGTAATACATACGCATCAATAACAAAAAAGGCACAATACCGTGACTGGTATTGTGCAGTACGAAAACACTAGTAACCATGTTCTCATGAAATGTTAATATTTTTTTGGACGTCAAATATGCTTAGAATATAGGAGAAAACTATCCTATGACTATTAACGGGGCCTCTTTTAACATATCAGCCATTTACCCCGCAAGGTAAGGTGACCAAAAGAAGGAAAATTCCTATACCATCACTCATGCTCTAGATTTCCCGAAGCGATCAAGAAAGACCATAACATCCCTACCCATCTTTCAACCTTTAATCAGCAAATATAAGAAATATCTTTGGAAAGATAAAAGATCACTTGAGAGGGAACTAGACTGGTATATCAAGGCTATGCCTGATCACCTGGGTTGTGATGTGTGGGGATACTAACAGCCTGACTGATCAGGTAGTCACCAGGCAAATATAGTCATTAGAAAGACTGGCCAGAGGGTTTTCAAACGTACAGATAAAAATCAGATATGTTGCTTAACACGCCTTGCTGGAAGTCGCGCTAAATCGTGAACAAAACGTAAAAATGCTTATGGACAGGTTCTCGGTTACTGCCAAAGCCAGATTTAAATATTATTTATGTTAGGTTAAGTTAGGCGAGGTTATATCAGGTAAAGTTTTGTTAGGTTAACTTAGTTTAGGTTGACAATGTAGAGCGGGCACATGACTAGCTAAACGTACTCACCTATTTGTGGTTGCAGGGGTCGAGACTCAGCTCCGGGCCCCGCCTATTCACTGATGGCTACTAGGTCCTCTCTCTCCCTGCTCCATGAGCTTTATCATACCTCGTCTTAAAGCTATGTATGGTTCCTGCTGTTATTGCTGTTCTTGCTGCTGAACAGCGGTTTAGTGCCGATGAAGGTAGCGTAGGTAGCAATGATACGGCCGTGGACTAGGTTGGCTTTAATTGGATAGGAGTGAGTACACAACGGGCAGTGTGAGGGAGTGACCGCAAGCCAGTCCGTGGAGGGGGAGCACTTGTGTCTGTCAAGTCGGTCGGCCTAGGAGTGAGGGCCGGTGGGCTCAGCCTCCCACTGACGTGGGTGAGCCTACAGAGGGCAGCACCTAAAATGCCGCGAAATATGAACTAGTCAGAGCAGACGGCTAGGCTGTGTGTTCTGACAGTACAGGCTGTCTACACTGCCTCCGCTAGATCACTTGCTAGACTGTTCCACTTCCTGACAACTTTGACTCAAAAAATACTTCCTAACATCCCTTTGACCCATCGGAGAATTCAACTTCCAATTGTGACCCCTTGTTTCTGCGTCCCATCTCTGGAACATCCTGTCTCTGTCCATTACTAGCTTGAATGTAAGCAGGCACATAATTAAACGTGTTAGAAAAAACACTCTTATCATATCCAGTGTAAGGAGGATGCAAGACATACATTGCAGTGCACCTGGAAGCACGAGTTACATGGGGAAACCCCGAAATCTTTCCCACCGTCTCAAAAACCAGTTATTGCAGCTTGTTTAACAAACAAGTATTAAAATGTTCAAGACAGGAATATGTCAGTGTTTCTAAGCAGGGTCTGGCAGATAGGTTCCACTCTCCTAAAAATATAATTTTCTCATATGCACTGATAGATATGTACATTAACTTATCGTGTACATTTTTTTTTTTTACATTTTTAATAAAAAATAACCTAGTAATCTAACATTCCTAAATTTAACGTAATATATAATATCTAATTACCACCCAGCCTATCTTATGCCACAATAAATTTATTTAATATTGTTTACCTGTAGAGAGAGATTTAATGTATTTTCATAAATTTCGTGACGTTCAGAAAATTTTTCTACAAATTAGTTATCAAAATGTAATTACAGGAAAAGACTGCACTGGGGTGTGGCATGAACTGTTAACAACAGCCTAAACAACCATGTATTTCCGATACAGTCTTGTTCAGGAAGTTTTAAAAGCTATATATTGAGGGGAATTTACCTGTGAGAGATGCAAGCAGGGTATAAGGGTGGTATGTATTCACTGCGAGGGTCAATGATACACTGCTAGACTGGTGAGCCCCTCGCAGCTGGTATATGAAGACTATCTTGACCCCTCCCTCACCTCCATAAAAGGTCTACGAGGACTCATCATGACTCCTCCCTCACACCACCTCCACTCTCCTAGGTCAAGAGGGACTCTCCATCATGACTCCTCCCTCACACCACCTTCTCTACACCTGTCGACAAGGCCTCTATCATGACTTATCCCTTACATCCCCTCCCCTCGCACCACCTCCTCCACACAAGGTCGACAAGGGCCCCATCATGACCTTCTCCCTCCCGTCTGCACTACACGAGGTACAGAGAAGAGCAACTTACAGAAGTTTCGACACAACATACGTATTACGTAGGTGTCTGGCCCTCCTCTTTTCAGAATATAATGTACATAATGAAAGTAATAATAGATTACTGAACCATTTTACCATTTTGTTGGAAAAGGAGCCACTGCTAGACATTATGGAGCTTAGGGTATAATGTCCTTGTGGATCTTAGGTAAACCATAAAAGTAAACTCAAGCAAACCAACTAGTCTTGTTTGAGATGATTCTCTTTAGACTGAGGCTAAGAACACACATCTCAACCATTCCTACCTGCGTCTAGGTGCTTCTGCTCCTGTGTATGACTTGAGGCAAGTATCAAGTGGAGGAGCACATTTTGACTGTAAACGCCATCAACCTTCTCTTTTAGGCTGTTTATAATTACCGAGGTACCTCCAGGGACCTCTGGGTAATTTTAGAAGACTTTTGAGGCTAACAGTTTATTTTTTTAACAGTTGCCCGTTATTTAACATAATGTCAAGGTATTCATTTTTCATTTTTATTGCCCCAGTAAGTTTTAATTGTTGACGGCTAGTGTACTTCGTTTGTTCTAATGTAAGTTTGTATGTATTTATTGTTGAAGAGAGCGATAAGTCGTCTCATATGTATAAACGCGCTTAATATACACAATTTCTTCCTTTCGAGACAAACGTTTGTGGGTTTTCCCCGGCAGTCTCTCTCTCTCTCTCTCTCTCTCTCTCTCTCTCTCTATATATATATATATATATATATATATATATATATATATTATATATATATATATATATATATATATATATATATATATATATGTATGTATATGAGGGTCCCGCTTATACAGCAGGTTAGGCTCCGGGCTGCTGCTGTAAAGTGTTAGTTAACGTTTTTTTCACTTTCAAATGCATATAAAAGCCTCATAGCATGTTTACGTTATCATATATTAAGTGAGCAATAAACTAGGCCTAAAAAATGCATATACAGTGCACACATTACTTACTATAAGATATTTTCGTCCTTAGCTTATAGTGAGTGATGAATACATTTATGGTAGGAAATCTGAATAAATGAATGGAGGTAATTGAAAACCACTGCATTAGCGAAATGTTTTAAAGCGAAACGCTGTAAAGCGAGACTTGCCTGTATACATATATACAGAGACAGATCACAGTCAGCAGGACTCGACTCCATTACAGGGAGACGGGCGAGGTTCAATCTGTCAGACACTGCAACACAAGGGTATCTTGGTACAGACCTGCAATCAACTTGTTACCTAACAACCTGTCGGTATTTTATACCATTTTAATGTTCAGTGACGCTCTTATCCACTCGACCACAAATGCCTCAAAAGCTGGGCAGTATATGCCATACAACCACAGGGGGGAGTTGAATGACAGCTCTAGGCCTTGTGTTGCAGCTAACACGTACGCACCTTCCGGGCTCTATTCCCTCTGCAACATTGCAAGCAAAAGTTTGTTGGCTACAACACGAGCTATCATTCAACTCCTTCCTCTGGTTGTTTTGCATCTTTTATCGCTTGTCCCCTATTACTTATATATATATTATGGATGTGCAAAAGTATCGTTATCGGATGGCATCAGCAATTTTTACGATATCGATATTGGTGAAAAAACGGCTGATACCAGCCGGCACATTATAAAATATTAACACTACCTCACGATTGTAAGGGTTATTCTTTGTAGATGAATGGTTCAGAGAACCGACATGTTGATAAATTAGACACATGTGCAACTCTTGGGTATCTTTATTGAGGAAACGTTTCGCCACACCGTGGCGAAACATCGACTCAAGGTTGAGGGACTGATTACCTCATTCTCCTCCTGTTCTTCAAGATTCTCCTTTGTATGGACTGATGAAGCCACTGTGTGGCGAAACGTTTCCTCAATAAAGATACCCAAGAGTTGCACATGTGTCTAATTTATCAAGGATTATTCTTACACACACACCTACACACAAACACATACTGTTACGACAGCTAGAGGATTGGACAGGAATAACAGGAAAGCACTACAATGGATCAAAGAATGCCTGACAGGAAGGAAACAATGAATGATGGTCCGTGATGAGGTGTTGGAATGAGTGCATGTGACGAGTGGGGTTTCACAAGGGTCAGTCCTAGGGCCGGTATTGTTTCTTGTATACGCGAATGATATGACAGAAGAGATCGAGTCAGAAGTATCCCTGTTCGCAGACAGTGTGGAACTAATGAGGAGAATACAAACGGGCGAAGAACAAGAAAGACCACAAATGAATCTGGACAGGCTGCAAAGCCTGGTCTAACAAATGGCTCCTGGAGTTTAACCCCAACAAGTGCAAAGTTATAAGGAAATAACAGAGAAGGCCGCAAACAGAGTACCGGCTCGGAAATCAATGACTGCAAACCTCACTCAAGGAAAAGGATCTTGGGGCGAGTATCATAAGAACATAAGAAAGAAGGAACACTGCAACAAGCCTACTGACCCATGCGAAGCAGGTCCATGCCACCCCCCGGCCTAGAACAATGACCATCTAGTCAGGTCACTTCCACTTAAGGAAGGAGCACGGCACCAGACCTGGTAGCCCAAGCTAGTCAGGTCCAACTCACACCCACCTACACCCACTCATGTATTTATCCAACCTATTTTTTAAAACTACACAAGGTCTTAGCTTCTGGACGGTACTCGAGAGTTTGTTCCATTCATCCACAACTCTATTACCAAACCAGTGCTTTCCTATGTCCTTCTTGAATCTGAACTTTTCCATCTTGAAATCATTGCTGCGAGTCCTGTCTTGGCTGGATATTTTCAGCACGCTATTTACATCCCCTTTATTTATTCCTGTTTTCCATTTATACACCTCAATCATATCCCCCCTAATTCTACGTCTTTCTAGAGTGCAGATTCAGGGCCCTCAGTCTATCCTCATAGGGAAGATTTCTGATACATGGGATCAGCTTTGTCATCCTCCTCTGTACGTTTTCCAGTGCATTTATATCCATTCTGTACTATGGTGACCAGAACTGTGCAGCATAATCTAAATGAGGCCTAACCAAGGATATATAGTGTTGAAGAACAACCTGAGGACTTCTATTATTTAAACTTCTTGTTATGAAGCCAAGGATTCTGTTAGCTTTATTGCGAACACTTATGCACTGTTGTCTTGGTTTCAGATTACTGCTAACCAGAACTCCTAAATCCTTTTCGCAGTCAGTACTATTAAGATCTACACTATTCAGTTTATAAGTGGCATGGTTATTGTCCTGTCCAACATTTAGGACTTTGCATTTGTCTATATTAAACTGCATCTGCCACTTCTCCGACCACTGCATCAGTCTATTCAAATCATCCTGGAGTGCACTAATGTCCTCAATAGAATGAATTGGACGGCCTATTTTGGTGTCATCAGCAAATTTGCTTATGTCGCTATTTATTCCCTCATCTATATCGTTTATGTGAATTGTGAACAACAAGGGACCCAACGGGTTGAAGATTGAGACACCTATGCAACATATGGGAATCTTTATTCAGGAAACGTTTCGTCACACAGTGGCTTCATCAGTCCAATACAAAGCAGGTGTAAGGAGAGGAGGAGTTTGAGGTAATCAGTCCCTCAGCCTGGAGTCGATGTGTTCAAGCTGAGGGACTGATTACCTCAAACTCCTCCTCTCCTTACACCTGCTTTGTATTGGACTGATGAAGCCACTGTGTGGCGAAACGTTTCCTGAATAAAAATTCTCATATGTTGCATAAGTGTCTCAATCTTCAACTTGTCGGTTTTTCAAACCATTCATCACAAGGGGCCCAACACTACCCCTGTGGAACACCGCTTGTGACGTGCCCCCATTCTGATTTCTCCCCATTTATGCAAACTCTTTGCTGCCTATTTGTCAACTATGCCTCTACCCAGGAAATTTTTTTCCTCCTATTCCGTGTGCCTTAAATTTCCTCAAAAGTCTGATGTGGAACTCTATCGAAAGCCTTACTGAAGTCCATATACACAATATCATATTCATTACCATGATCTACCTCCTCAAACACCTTAGTGACAAAAGTTAGCAAATTCGTAAGACAGGAACGCCCCTTTGTAAAACCGTGTTGAGATTCATTAATCAATCTGTGCCTATCAAGATGGCTACGAATTGCCTCGGCAATTATTGATTCCATAAATTTTCCCACTATGGTCTATAGTTCGAGGCCAAGGACCTGTCACCTGCCTTGTAAATAGGTATTACATTTGCCATTTTCCACTTATCAGGCACTATGCCAGTTTGTAGTGATATGTTGAAAAGATTAGCCAAAGGTCTGCTAAGCTCCTCTTTACATTCCTTTAAAACCCTTGCAAACAATTCATCAGGACCTGGGAATTTGTTAGGTTTTAATTTCTCTATTTGTCTGAGGACCATGTCACTAGTTACTGCAATCGTGCATAGTTTATTATTGTCCTGTTCTACATAATTTATTATTTCTGGAATTTCGCTAGTATCTTCCTGAGTAAAAACTGAGAGGAAGTAAGAATTGAAAATTTCACACATATCCTTATCACTGTCAGTGATCTGACCTGAGTTATTCTTAAGTGAGCCAATCTTGTCTCTAATCTTACTTCTGTATACCTGAAAGAATCCTTTTGGGTTAGTCTTCGAATTCCTTGCGACCTTAGCCTCATAATCCCTTTATGCTTTTCTTATTTCTTTTTTTATTCCTCTCTTTAATTAAATATATTGATTTCTTAACTGCCCATCCCCTTTTGATACGTCTAAAAATCCCTCTCTTTTGACAAGTGAGATGTTTTAATCTATTGATCATCCATTTGGGATTATTTTTGTTAGATCTAATTTCCCTACTCGGAACAAAAGTTGACTGAGCAGCTAGAACTATGCGCTGAAAAACGTCATATTCGCAACCAACACCAGCTACCTGACCCACAGTCAGATCATCCCAATTTAGCCCACCCAGGTAATTTTTCAGTCCCATGAAATCAGCCAATCGGAAGTCTGGGACAGAGACTTGATTGCAGTTTACTGGGTAATACCATAATATATTGAAACTAAATGATTTTTGATCACTTTCCCCAAGCTCATCATTAACCTCAAGATTATTAATTAGTGAATCTTTGTTGGCAAGAACCAAGTCAAGCAGATCGTTTCATCTAGTTGGTTCTGTCACAAACATTTTTAAAAAGCAATCCTGAACTGTATCAAGACAGTCACTAGACTCAAGATTTCTTGTCAAATTGTTCCAATCAATTTGTCTAAAGTTAAAATCTCCCATTAACACAACATTTTCATATCTAGACGCCTTATGAATTTCGTCCCATAGCAGCTTACTGCACTCCCTATCAAGGTTTGGGGGCCTATATATCACACTCAAAATTAATTTTTCATACCCCTCGAGAAACTGCAACCAAACAGATTCTGTGTCCGATGTTTCTAATCTTATATCATGTCTAACACAACAATTTAAATTATCTCTGACATACATCACCACTCCACCACCCTTCCTGTTGACCCTATCAGTGTGGAATAGTTTATAACAAATTTTCTGAGACACACATCAACCAAATAACTGCTGCAGCAGCACATAGGTGCCTGGCAAACCTGAGAACAGCATTTCAATATTTATGTGAGGAGTCATTCACGACATTGTACCCGTGTATGTCAGGCTTACATTGGAGAATGCACCACCAGTGTGGAACCCATATCTAGTCAACGCGTCAAGAAATTATAGAAAGTGCAGCGGTTTTCATCAAGGCTAGTTCCGGAGCTAAGGGGTATGTCCTATGAGAAGAGAACAGGAGGGATATGATAAAGACATACAAAATACTGAGAGAAGTTAACAGGTTGAACAGGGGCAGAATGTTACAAAGATAGGATACAGAAATAGGAGAATTAGGAAGTATTTCTTCAGCCATAGTGTTGTCAGGTGGAACAATCTGGAGAGTGAAGTAGTGGAGGCAGGATCCATACATAGTTTTAAGAAGAGGGATGATAAAGCTCTTAGAACCAGGAGAACGTGAACCTAGTAGCGACCAGCGAAGAGGCGGGACCAGGAGCTGTGACTTGACTCTTTCAACCACCTATAGATGAGTAGACACACATACACACACTATCGACAAGTGCCTTTGACAACCAGTAACTAACACAAGAAAAGTAGTGAATAATAACATTATCATCTCAGAGAAATTAAGTTATTTAATATTTAACCTTCCTGTGTTATTTAATATCCATTATGTAATAAATATTCCTGTACATATTACACAGAAGTATTACACTTTTAAAAATTAAAAAAAATATATAGGAAAAGTATTTTTCCATCTCTAAATATGGCCGGTTTCTTCAAAAAATGTATATGACGGAATACGAAAGACACGGAAATTTCCTACTTATGTGAGAATTCTTTCCTAGAACGAAATATTGTGGAATGTGGTGGTGGTGGGTTGACTCACCAGCACCCTGAGGTGGGTTGACCCACCACCCGCACCCTGAGGTGGGTTGACCCGCCATCAGCACCCTGAAGTGGGTTGACCCGCCACCAACACCCTGAGGTAGGTTGACCCACCACCAGCACCCTGAGGTGGGTTGACCCACCACCAGCACCCTGAGGTAGGATGACCCACCACCAGCCCCCTGAGTTGGGTTGACCCACCACCAGCACCCTGAGTTGGTAATAAAGTTGGTAGAATTACCGACAATATGTAAAGTAAAAGGACACAAGTGCAACTAATGTGACATTTATTGTGGCAACGTTTCGCTCTCCAGGAGCTTTATCAAGCCATTACGCAATGGCTTGATAAAGCTCCTGGAGAGCGAAACGTTGCCACAATAAATGTCACATTAGTTGCACTTGTGTCCTTTTACTTTACACCCTGAGTTGGGTTGACCCACCACCAGCACCCTGAGTTGGGTTGACCCACCACCAGCACCCTGAGGTAGGTTGACCCACCAGCAGCACCCTGAGGTGGGTTGACCCACCACCAGCACCCTGAGTTGGGTTGACCCACCACCAGCACCCTGAGTTGGGTTGACCCACCACCAGCACCCTGAGGTAGGTTGACCCACCACCAGCACCCTGAGGTAGGTTGACCCACCATCAGCACCCTGAGGTAGGTTGACCCACCACCAGCACCCTGAGGTAGGTTGACCCACCACCAGCACCCTGAGGTGGGTTGACCCACTACCAGCACCCTGAGGTAGGTTGACCCACCATCAGCACCCTGAAACACGTAGAGGAAGTCACACTGCACCTGGAGGGTACGAGAAACAGTAAGCTGTGGTCTATGGCAAGTAGGGACTGCTCCAACACAGTGGATCAAGAACCCTTCGCAGGAAAGGAGGACCCCCAAAATTAATACCATTAGTGAATATTTTTTATAACGAAATTTAATGAAATTTATTCATAACCACACATAACAATCATGAAAAATACGCAATACTCGTAATTATCAACACAAATAATAATAACAAATCAAAATAATAACCAGAAATCGTACACAAATCATTACAAATCATAGACAAAATTATCATAAGCCATAACATAAACACAAAATACGTATTCATAAAATCTTAATTAAATACTATATAGCACCTGCAGCCTCACAGGCAATAGCAATTATTATTATAACTAAGCGCTAAATCCACAAGGGTCATACAGCGCTGACAGGCATTAACAAACAATTGGTTGGTTAATTGGGTTTGAAGCCTATCGTCTACACGAGGGTCATTAAGGATGCACATAACCTTCTCACTACCAGATATGGACACGTTAATTCCTAAAATAGGAAATAAATTCTCATCATATATACACTGAGAGAGAAATACCTCTCAGTGTATATATACTTTAAACAAACAGAATAACAACAGGACCAAATAAACTATTCAAAATAATTAAAATGATAATTTTGGTAATCTTAGGTCAACAAATACACGATTATTTTTATAATAATTATTTTTATTCTGGGTAATTAGGATTCAACTTTCTCTAACCAATTGAAGGGGTAGCCATAGCTGTGTCAGTCTTCCAGTTTTAAACACGTTTTTGAACACCAAGACTTCATTCATGGATAGTGTGGGGGGGGGGGAGGATGATGCCAGAGAAGGGCCCTTTACCTAGAGAACTGTACTTACCCTCTCCTTCCTTGTATCAATTGAGCCTGATTACCTCTCATTACCAAAGCCTGTGACCCCTATGAGTTTATCATCTCTATCCGCGGAAGAAATTAGTTTCAATTCTATCAAGAGTCCTTCAACAGTATCAAATCACCCCCACCCCTCACCCACTTCCTCACCTAGAAGGAAGACCGGACACTGTGTTGTTAGCAGTGGTAAAACATTTCTGATAGTCAGGATATTGTACAAAGAGAGAAACACCTCAGTAGCACTCTTCAATCAATAGAACACTTCAGAAGTCAGTTCACCCTGTAAAGTCAATGTGGTAAACCAGGTCCAACCTTGCCTTGGAGATACGTACGTACTCCTCTTGTGTCTGCTCGTTCCAGCTCAAGAAACCAAATGAGATGGTACAAATATACTGGCTCTAAACCTTTCTTCAGTGATTATACTGTCACATACTTTCACAGTAATGTGAAAGTATGTGACAGCTATATGCAGAACAACGCTAAAAATCCCCAAGTGTAAACAGAAGGCTGATGTAGAGTGAGTGAAGACCAACTGTATCCGTGATAGTGTGTGGAGCCGCTGACGAAAGTTCCAGCTGTCGCAGGAACACTTAGTTATGGCTGCAAGTTACTGAGAATCCACTGGGCATAGAAGCTGACGCTGGAGTAGAGACCTTGAGTGTTGGAGGAGCCACATTCTCTTGGTCCCAAACTGGTGATGCCTACTACATAGTGCCTGCTGACATCACTGTTAGTGAGGGTAAGGGGGCCACCTGTAGGAAGAAATTACTTCCGTGAAAATGGTGATGAACTACTGAATAAAATCGTTGTTCAGAAAGTTGAATTATATAGGGATAACATGTGAATTATTATATATTGCTACCCTTCCAGTTGCAATGAATTGTCTTCGAAGCCTTACAAGACTAACTAAAATATCTTACAGTCTCATACAATATTTTATTAATATTAGTATCCATGCTTGGCACAATAACGTGGGGATGCTACTCGAGACATGCCAGGGTCCCAAGTAATGAACACAGATGCTGAGGCAAAGGCTGCAAGACTCTTCACTACTTGCTTGCAGTTACTCTTGTTCCTCTCTCTCTGTGTGAACTGTTGTGTGCTACTGATCGTCAAGTACATTCGGTTAGGCTATGGGTTTTACAGTTACCTGTAGGGACGTCGGTGAAATTTCAGAGTATTTTTTGGATAGTGACGATTTAATGGATAGTTTAAATGATGGGACTATTTCAACTTAATGTGAGAGTATGCATTATTTTCTTGTGTGCTTGATAGTGTGATTATACATACATATATATATATATATATATATATATATATAATATAATATATATATATATATATATATATATATATATATATATATATAATATATATATATATATATTATATATTATCACACTGGCCGATTCCCACCAAGGCAGGGTGGCCCGAAAAAGAAAAACTTTCACCATCATTCACCCCATCACTGTCTTGCCAGAAGGGTGCTTTACACTACAGTTTTTAAACTGCAACATTAACACCCCTCCTTCAGAGTGCAGACACTGTACTTCCCATCTCCAGGACTCAAGTCCGGCCTGCCGGTTTCCCTGAATCCCTTCATAAATGTTACTTTGCTCACACTCCAACAGCACGTCAAGTATTAAAAACCATTTGTCTCCATTCACTCCTATCAAACACGCTCACGCATGCCAGCTGGAAGTCCAAGCCCCTCGCATACAAAACCTCCTTTACCCCCTCCCTCCAACCTAGGAATTTCCTAGGCCGACCCCTACCCCGCCTTCCTTCCACTACAGACTGATACACTCTTGAAGTCACTCTGTTTCGCTCTATTCTCTCTACATGTCCGAACCACCTCAACAACCCTTCCTCAGCCCTCTGGACAACAGTTTTGGTAATCCCGCACCTCCTCCTAACTTCCAAACTACGAATTCTCTGCATTATATTCACACCACACATTGCCCTCAGACATGACATCTCCACTGCCTCCAGGCTTCTCCTCGCTGCAACATTCATCACCCATGCTTCACACCCATATAAGAGCGTTGGTAAAACTATACTCTCATACATTCCCCTCTTTGCCTCCAAGGACAAAGTTCTTTGTCTCCACAGACTCCTAAGTGCACTGCTCACCCTTTTCCCCTCATCAATTCTATGATTCACCTCATCTTTCATAGACCCATCCGCTGACACGTCCACTCCCAAATATCTGAATACATTCACCTCCTCCATACTCTCTCCCTCCAATCTGATATCCAATCTTTCATCACCTAATCTTTTTGTTATCCTCATAACCTTATTCTTTCCTGTATTCACTTTTAATTTTCTTCTTTTGCACATCCTACCAAATTCATCCACCAATCTCTGCAACTTCTCTTCAGAATCTCCCAAGAGCACAGTGTCATCAGCAAAGAGCAACTGTGACAACTCCCACTTTATGTGTGATTCTTTATCTTTTAACTCCACGCCTCTTGCCAAGACCCTCGCATTTACTTCTCTTACAACCCCATCTATAAATATATTAAACAACCACAGTGACATCACACATCCTTGTCTAAGGCCTACTTCTACTGGGAAATAATTTCCCTCTTTCCTACATACTCTAACTTGAGCCTCACTATCCTCGTAAAAACTCTTCACTGCTTTCAGTAACCTACCTCCTACACCATACACCTGCAACATCTGCCACATTGCCCCCCTATCCACCCTGTCATACGCCTTTTCCAAATCCATAAATGCCACAAAGACCTCTTTAGCCTTATCTAAATACTGTTCACTTATATGTTTCACTGTAAACACCTGGTCTACATATCCCCTACCTTTCCTAAAGCCTCCTTGTTCATCTGCTATCCTATTCTCCATCTTACTCTTAATTCTTTCAATAATAACTCTACCATACACTTTACCAGGTATACTCAACAGACTTATCCCCCTATAATTTTTGCACTCTCTTTTGTCCCCTTTGCCTTTATACAAAGGAACTATGCATGCTCTCTGCCAATCCCTAGGTACCTTACCCTCTTCCATGCATTTATTAAATAATTGCACCAACCACTCCAAAACTATATCCCCACCTGCTTTTAACATTTCTATCTTTATCCCATCAATTCCGGCTGCCTTACCCCCTTTCATTTTACCTACTGCCTCACGAACTTCCCCCACACTCACAACTGGCTCTTCCTCACTCCTACAAGATGTTATTCCTCCTTGCCCTATACACGAAATCACAGCTTCCCTATCTTCATCAACATTTAACACTTCCTCAAAATATTCCCTCCATCTTCCCAATACCTCTAACTCTCCATTTAATAACTCTCCTCTCCTATTTTTAACTGACAAATCCATTTGTTCTCTAGGCTTCCTTAACTTGTTAATGTCACTCCAAAACTTTTTCTTATTTTCAACAAAATTTGTTGATAACATCTCACCCACTCTCTCATTTGCTCTCTTTTTATATTGCTTCACCACTCTCTTAACCTCTCTCATTTTCTCCATATACTCTTCCCTCCTTGCATCACTTCTACTTTGTAAAAACTTCTCATATGCTAACTTTTTTTTCCCTTACTACTCTCTTTACATCATCATTCCACCAATCGCTCCTCTTCCCTCCCGCACCCACTTTCCTGTAACCACAAACTTCTGCTGAACACTCTAACACTACATTTTTAAACCTACCCCATACCTCTTCGACCCCATTGCCTATGCTCTCATTAGCCCATCTATCCTCCAATAGCTATTTATTTCTTAACCTAACTGCCTCCTCTTTTAGTTTATAAACCTTCACCTCTCTCTTCCCTGATGCTTCTATTCTCCTTGTATCCCATCTACCTTTTACTCTCAGTGTAGCTACAACTAGAAAGTGATCTGATATATATGTGGCCCCTCTATAAACATGTACATCCTGAAGTCTACTCAACGGTCTTTTATCTACCAATACATAATCCAACAAACTACTGTCATTTCGCCCTACATCATATCTTGTATACTTATTTATCCTCTTTTTCTTAAAATATGTATTACCTATAACTAAACCCCTTTCTATACAAAGTTCAATCAAAGGGCTCCCATTATCATTTACACCTGGCACCCCAAACTTACCTACCACACCATCTCTAAAAGTTTCTCATTTAGCATTCAGGTCCCCTACCACAATTACTCTCTCACTTGGTTCAAAGGCTCCTATACATTCACTTAACATCTCCCAAAATCTCTCTCTCTTCTCCAGGTGCATACACGCTTATTATGACCCACTTTTCGCATCCAACCTTTACTTTAATCCACATAATTCTTGAATTTACACTTTTATATACTCTTTTCTCCTTCCATAACTGATCCTTCAACAGTACTGCTACCCCTTCCTTTGCTCTAACTCTCTCAGATACTCCAGATTTAATCCCATTTATTTCCCCCCACCGAAACTTCCCTACCCCCTTCAGCTTTGTTTTGCTTAGGGCCAGGACATCCAACTTCTTTTCATTCATAACATCAGCAATCATCTGTTTCTTGTCATCCGCACTACATCCACGCACATTCAAGCATCCCAGTTTTATAAAGTTTTTCTTGTTCTCTTTTTTAGTAAATGTCTACAGGAGAAGGGGTTACTAGCCCATTGTTCCCGGCATTTTAGTCGCCTCATACGACACGCATGGCTTATGGAGGAAAGATTCTTTTCCACTTCCCCATGGACAATAGAAGAAATAAAGAAGAACAAGAGCTATTTAGAAAAAGGAGAAAAACCTAGATGTATATATATATATATATATATATATATATATATATATATATATATATATATATATATATATATATATATGCATGTGCGTGTCTGTGAAGTGTGACCAAAGTGTAAGTAGAAGTAGCAAGATATCCCTGTTATCTAGCGTGTTTATGAGACAGAAAAAGAAACCAGCAATCCTACCATCATGCAAAACAGTTACAGGTTTCTGTTTCACAGTCATCTGGCAGGACGGTAGTACTTCCCTGGGTGGTTGCTGTCTACCAACCTACAACTATAATATATATATATATATATATATATATATATATATATATATATATATATATATATATATATATATATATATATATATATATATATATTGTTGAAGGACAAGCTATGGCAGGAAAAGAGGGACTATAAATGTATTAATTCAAGGCTTATGTGGAGTAAAATAAAGATTGGATGTGAAAAGTGGGTTATAGTAAGCGTGTATGCACCTGGAGAAGAAAGAAGTGTAGAGGAGAGAGAGAGATTTTGGGAAATGTTGAGTGAATGCGTGGGGAGCTTTGAATCAAGTGTGAGAGTAATGGTGGTTGGGGATTTCAATGCTAAAGTGGGTAAAAATGTTATGGAGGGAGTAGTAGGTAAATTTGGGGTGCCAGGGGTAAATGTAAATGGGGAGCCTTTAATTGAGCTATGTGTAGAAAGAGATTTGGTAATAAATAATACGTATTTTATGAAAAAGAGGATATATAAATATACAAGGTATGATGTAGCACGTAATGAAAGTAGTTTGTTAGATTATGTATTGGTGGATAAAAGGTTGATGGGTAGGCTCCAGGATGTACATGTTTATAGAGGGGCAACTGATATATCGGATCATTATTTAGTTGTAGCTACAGTTAGAGTAAGAGATAGATGGGAAAAGAGGAAGGTGGCAACAACAAGTAAGAGGGAGGTGAAAGTGTACAATCTAAGGGAGGAGGAAGTTCGGGGGAGATATAAGCGACTGTTGGCAGAAAGGTGGGCTAGTGCAAAGATGAGTAGTGGGGGGGTTGAAGAGGGTTGGAATAGTTTAAAAAAATGCAGTATTAGAATGTGGGGCAGAAGTTTGTGGTTATAGGAGGGTGGGGGCAGGTGGAAAGAGGAGTGATTGGTGGAATGCTGAAGTAAAGGGTGTGATAAAAGAGAAAAAGTTAGCTAATGAGAGGTTTTTACAAAGCAGAGGTGTTATAAGAAAAGCAGAGTATATGGAGAGTAAAAGAAAGGTGAAGAGAGTGGTGAGAGAGTGCAAAAGGAGAGCAGATGATAGAGTGGGAGAGGCACTGTCAAGAAATTTTAATGAAAATAAGAAAAATTTTTGGAGTGAGTTAAACAAGTTAAGAAAGCCTAGGGAAAGTATGGATTTGTCAGTTAAAAACAGAGTAGGGGAGTTAGTAGATGGGGAGAGGGAGGTATTAGGTAGATGGCGAGAATATTTTGAGGAACTTTTAAATGTTAAGGAAGAAAGGGAGGCGGTAATTTCATGCACTGGTCAGGGAGGTATACCATCTTTTAGGAGTGAAGAAGAGCAGAATGTAAGTGTGGGGGAGGTACGCGAGGCATTACGTAGAATGAAAGGGGGTAAAGCAGCTGGAACTGATGGAATCATGACAGAAATGTTAAAAGCAGGGGGGGATATAGTGTTGGAGTGGTTGGTACTTTTGTTTAATAAATGTATGAAAGAGGGGAAGGTACCTAGTGATTGGCGGAGAGCATGTATAGTCCCTTCATATAAAGGGAAAGGGGACAAAAGAGATTGTAAAAATTATAGAGGAATAAGTTTATTGAGTATACCAGGAAAACAAACCATACCCCCGGCCGCGATTGAACCCGGCCGGGGAAAGTGTACGGTAGGGTTATAATTGAAAGAATTAGAGGTAAGACAGAATGTAGGATTGCGGATGAGCAAGGAGGTTTCAGAGTGGGTAGGGGATGTGTAGATCAAGTGTTTACATTGAAGCATATATGTGAACAGCATTTAGATAAAGGTAGGGAAGTTTTTATTGCATTTATGGATTTAGAAAAGGCATATGATAGAGTGGATAGAGGAGCATGTGGCAGATGTTGCAAGTATATGGAATAGGTGGTAAGTTACTAAATGCTGTAAAGAGTTTTTATGAGGATAGTGAGGCTCAGGTTAGGGTGTGTAGAAGAGAGGGAGACTACTTCCCGGTAAAAGTAGGTCTTAGACAGGGATGTATAATGTCACCATGGTTGTTTAATATATTTATAGATGGGGTTGTAAAAGAAGTAAATGCTAGGGTGTTCGGAAGAGGGGTGGGGCTAAATTATGGGGAATCAAATTCAAAGTTGGAGTGTGAGCAGGGTAATATTTAGTGACGGGATTCAGGGAAACCGGTTATTTTCATAAAGTCGGACTTGAGTCCTGGAAATGGGAAGTACAATACCTGCACTTTAAAGGAGGGGTTTGGGATATTGGTAGTTTGGAGGGATGTGTTGTGTATCTTTATACGTATATGCTTCTAAACTGTTGTATTCTGAGTACCTCTACAAAAACAGTGATAATGTGTGAGTGTGGTGAAAGTGTTGAATGATGATGAAAGCATTTTCTTTTTGGGGATTTTCTTTCTTTTTTGGGTCACCCTGCCTCGGTGGGAGACGGCCGACTTGTTGAATATATATATATATATATATATATATATATATATATATATATATATATATATATATATATATATATATATATATATATATATATACATATACATTGTTGAGGTGGTTTGGTCATTTAGAGAGAATGGATCAAAGTAGAATGACATGGAAAGCATATAAATCTATAGGGGAAGGAAGGCGGGGTAGGGGTCGTCCTCGAAAGGGTTGGAGAGAGGGGGTAAAGGAGGTTTTGTGGGTAAGGGGCTTGGACTTCCAGCAAGCGTGCGTGAGCGTGTTAGATAGGAGTGAATGGAGACGAATGATACTTGGGACCTGACGATCTGTTGGAGTGTGAGCAGGGTAATATTTAGTGAAGGGATTCAGGGAAACCGGTTATTTTCATATAGTCGGACTTGAGTCCTGGAAATGGGAAGTACAATGCCTGCACTTTAAAGGAGGGGTTTGGGATATTGGCAGTTTGGAGGGATATGTTGTGTATCTTTATATGTGTATGCTTCTAGACTGTTGTATTCTGAGCACCTCTGCAAAAACAGTGATAATGTGCGAGTGTGGTGAAAGTGTTGAATGATGATGAAAGTATTTTCTTTTTGGGGATTTTCTTTCTTTTTTGGGTCACCCTGCCTCGGTGGGAGACGGCCGACTTGTTGAAAAAAAAAAAAAAAAAAAAAAAAAATATACATTGAGGGATAGTTCTAGCTTGAATGTTAGTGTGTATTACTCACTGCATACATCCTCGTTGGAAGGAATAGTAATACTAATTTTTATACAGTTTTGCCACTTACCCGAGTCTCCCCTGCATGTATCACTCATGATGCCACTTACCGGAGTCTCCCCTGCATGTATCACTTATTATGTCACTTACCCGAGTCTCCCCTGCATGTATCCTTGCCTTCACCGCCAGCACAGATGACCATGCGATTGTCAGGATAATCTTTCCTCAGAGTCTCACAAAAGTCCAAATTTTGGATGGGCAGCTGGACTTGTTGCAGTGTATTTAGCCTGACAAAAGTGGCCGAGTCTGTAAAGGACATTTAGTACGATTATTATCTTCCAAAATAATAAATTTAACTACGACATAATAATGATACTACTACTACTACTAATAATAATAATAATTTGCTATTTGAATAAAATACTGGAGTATACAGGGTGTCCCCTACGTCAGGAACTACACGGTAAAATAAATAATTCAGAATTTCCGTTTATAGTGAGGCAAAACGCATTCTTCCGCTTATCACCAATAAAAATAGACAACACAACACCCTCTACGAATAAAATCCTTTATAATAGCCTTTATGTTTTTTTTTATAATTTTCGTCTGTGGTTCCTGACGTATGGGGGACCGCAATGCTGCTATGTATACACGGTACTTGCCTCTAGAGACGGAGCCCCAGCCAGCCGCCCAGGCTGTCTTACCCTGGTACTGAGCCTCGGAGAAACCCAGGTCTTTCTGAGGGTTCACAGGCACACAAATGGGCACCACGTGAACTGGAACACAATGCTCATTTTTTACAAATGCAAAGATAAAAGGCATACATGAAAAAGGTGACTTCAACGAAGAAAAAATGGTTAAATGGTATTAAAGCATTCTAAAGGAAGGGCTCTGGGATAATTTCCTATCTGAAAGATAATGTACTCCAGCTGCCGCTGCTTGATCACAGAAACCTTTCCTCCATATCCCCACAGCCCAGCCTCCTCTACCCCAATTCAAGCATAAGGAATAATAGAGTGCACCGTTAGCTTCTAATGCGGTTAAACATCAGCGTAGATGATCTGAATCCAATCAGAAGGAACAATGACAAGTTATCTTATGGAAACTATCCTCTACATGACAAATTGGTTTCTAAATAGCCAAAATCTATTGGAACCTTTCACTGGGCAAAATACACCAACTTTGAAAGCTGGAACCTTCCACTAAAATACAACAACCTTCATATAATTTTTTAATTTTTTTTAATAAAACCAGTAAATTTGAATCTATACAGCAGAAAATCAATAAAAGAAAAATGGTTTAAGATACACTACAGTTCAGGATTTAAAGCCGATCAGAAGACGCATTCTCCAGTTATTGTATGGAAACTATCCTGTTA